GTGCAGCAGACCCAGGCAGAACCAAAGTCCAAGAAGGCATCTGCACCTAGCAAGTTATTTTTCCATCAGCCCTCCATTTCTTAATGGAGACTCCTTGAGGGCTGGGTTGCAGAGGATGCACTGGCATACCCATTTAGCTTCCCTATGACTGACTTAATGCACGTGGCATCTGCCCTCCAATGAACATTATATCACCCACCTGGGCCAGAAGAGGAAGGAGGAATCAGCACAGGGTAACTTTGCTCAAACAGCATGCTTACACGATGATTAGGTCTGGTCCACTGATCCGGAATAATATTCTGAAGGCTCACTAAGCATAATGGATTTGGATACATCTAAGCCTGCCAAACCTTCCCATGAGCATCCTTTACACACTGTATCAGTGTTTTGCATGTCTCATCAGCGTCACGGTGGTTGACATCTCATTATGCAGCCAAGGTGGCAGTGGACAGGTACTGAGTGAGCATTAGAACTTCTCCCTTGCATTATTTAATTCATATCCTCCCATTATCCAGTGTATCACGAAGCTGTGAACTAATTAAGTCCTGTGGGATATACAGCCAGTGTTGGAATTTTTTTTCTTTTCTTTCCCCCCTCCCCCCCCACACACACACTTTTCAGTAGTCTAAATTGCATTATATACAGATATAAAAATAATTCTGCAACTCTTCCTGAGATAATAATGGAGCAAGTTACAAACACTAATGATGCTGAATGCAGCGGTGGGGCAGAGGCCTGCTGCTTACTTTCTGTGACCTACTTAAGTTCTACGGTGGCAAGTATTTCCAATATAAATGGAGGAAAAGGGCCTGAGTCAGTCTCTAAAGAAATCCATTAACATTATTTTGGAGGAGATATTAGGGCATGGAAGAAATCCAAGGAATATGCCAAGTTGGTGAACTTCAGCCCAATGAAGCCTGCCAAGCAACAGGTCTCCAGCCAGCAGCTTGAAAACTGCTGCAATCTGTGGGGTCCTCTAAATGCAAACACGAGCCCAGCTCATTCTGCACCCATGGCAAACAGAACAGAGTTGGAAGGATGGGTATTGCCCTGTCTCTCCAGAAATACAGCTCTTTTCCTCAACTGAGGATCTTACCCATAATTCTTCCAAGAGGTTTAACCAAAACAGCAAATCTGAGGGACTGATTCAAAGCAGCAGGAACAAGGTGAACAGGGGAGATACAGCCTTCTAACTTTGGATGACAGTACAGCCCAATTTTCAAGAACAGGTATGCAACAAGAGGTAGAAGAGCTTTTTCTCTGCAGAATTAGGCTTCATTATCTCATGCAGATCATCTGAAAGTTAAGCTTCCTAGACTTAAGTTCTTTTCAATTAAATACATCTTCATATCTATTTATAAAGAAAATGTTCTCCTCATAAGAAAGAGTGGTGATGCAGTGGCACAGCTGCCAGGGAGGTGGTGGGGTCACCATCCCTGGAGGTGTTCCAGAACCGTGGGGATGCGGCACTGAGGGATGAGGGCGGTGGGCATGGTGGGGTGGGCTGGGGTTGGACTTGGGGATCACACAGAATCACACAGAATGGCCAGGGTTGGAAGGGATCCTGGAGGTCTTTTCCAACCTGAATGATTCTATGATGATTCTCTAGTATTCGGAGCTTCTTCATATCCGAGACAATAAGAAGTCTGATGAACAACCACTTCAGTTACCTTCTGAGAAAGAGCTTGTTACGTTTGCTGAATTGTACAGAATTTTTCTGTTTGTGTCCACATCCAATTCCAAATTGTCCAATGTCCAATTCCAAAACTTGGAATTCAAACAGATGGTGAGGCAGCACCATGGAAATGCTTATAACACACGTGGAGGCACAGAGGCATTCACAACATGTTTTTATTCAAAATCCATCTGGCATGGCTATGGTCTAACTCCTGGATGGGTTATGTTAGCTATTTCATGCAATTTTTAGTAATTCTGACACACAGATCTGGGGTGAATTCATGGGCTGATTCAGTCACTGCTTGGATACTGCTCTGCAGAATGAAGGAAGGGAAAAATGGATCATTTCCAGTGCAAGGTTGTGGCTGGCCAAAGATCAAGCTGATGGACCTGTCTCTGCCACTTGCCCTGAAGTAGGATCCTAATGCACGGGTTCCTCTTCAATCACACCAGGTCCTGTCTGTGAACTGCCACTAGCAGGGCTGCTAAAAGCATCATCTCTTTGCAGATTGTGTTTCTCTTATTTCTACCCTATCTTCCAAATCCCAACTGATCATACTATTGATAACCACAGACAGGTCCTACTACATGTCTTACAGGTATTGAAGAAGGCCCTTTCCCCAGAGCTCGTATCCCTTAGACTCCAGCCTCTAATAACAAATATTCGGAGGTTTTATCCCATTTTCTGCCCTGCAACAAGTTTCTTCTCTTTTACCAATGCCCACTCCATGCTCTTGATAACACAAGACTATCAAGCTTTTCTGTCCTGCCTCTTTTCTCTTCTGCCACCCTGGAGCAAACAGTGCTCCACCACCATCTCACCACCTCTGCTCCCATCCTGCCCAATAACTCAGCTGTTTTAAGGCACGCCTGCCTGGGCATCATGCAGCTGGCAAAAGAATAAGCAAGAAAAAATAAAATGGAGAGCACAGTATCTGTGCTTTTGGAGTGCTTTGAGATCCTTTCATGGGAGTGCGATAGAAGTGCCAGATGTTATTATAAAGAGATGCATTCCCGTTACTCGTGCACAGAGTTGTGCTGCCTGCTAATAGCACCATTATCCTACTGCACGTGGTGCTATTAATGCATTTCACTGCTTGGTGCAGAACCTGGGGACCATTATTTCCACTGGAAAGGTAAGGCCAGTTCATATGACATGATTTAAATCTCTACAGTGAAGCATGCATATGCTGCACCAGGTCGTAAATCTTAACGGGATGCTGTCAGCAAGAAAAGGACCAAAATTGAAACCATTTATCTGAACTCCCCACCCATCCACCTCTGCTCACCCAGGCCAGTTTTGGGAAGAGGGATAAAATGATTCCAAATGCCTGCTGGGTTCATTAAGCAGCAGCAAATCCCAGGTCAGAAAGCACTGCTGGTTTCATCCTGTTCTCCCTCCATTCATTCAGGATGCTCAGCTCCTCGATTCACCCCAGCAGGGACAAACCTCACCATTCCTTCCTATTCTGGTTGCCACCTGAGCCAAAAAGACAGACTGTCACCATCTCATTGCTGAGACTAAGGGACTACCCAAAGCAGTGGGTGACAGCTCCTCTATGCTGTGGCTCCGCTATGCTGTGGCCTATGCTCTGCAGCAGTAGAGACATCTTTTGCACACTAGGTAAGCACAACCTAAAGGAAAGTTGCTGTCTGACCTGACACTGGCCTAAGCATCCTTGTGCTGACCTCTTGCATTTCCTGACTAGAATTGTTTTTGGTTGGCCTTCCCCATCGCTGTGTGTGTTGTGAGTAGCACAGCTAGCCAACAAGCACATGGGAGAGGAGTCATCCTGCAGAACATGGGAAGGTCAGGGCACTGTAAAGGCTGGCAACGCTAGGAGGGAAAAGGCTGCCTATGATGGTCCTTCCTGGGCCAAGGGGAGACTTAAAAATTATTTTTTTTCCTTCTTTTTGTAAAGCAGAATAAAGGAATCGCAGAATGGCCTGGGTTGCAAAGGCCCACAGTGCTCATCCAGTCCCAACCCCCTGCTGTGTGCAGGTCACCAACCAGCAGCCCAGGCTGCCCAGAGCCACATCCAGCCTGGCCTTGAATGCCTGCAGGGATGGGGCATCCACAGCCTCCTTGGGCAACCTGTTCCAGTGCCTCACCACCCTCTGGGGGAAAAACTTCCTCCTCATATCCAACCTAAACCTCCCCTGTCTCAGTTTAAAACCATTCCCCCTTGTCCTATCACTATCCAGCAATGATATTTTAGGATGCTTGACTACAAGAGCATGTAAATACATGTAAAATAGATTTACAGGGCAAATATTCAGAGATTCTCAGCTTATTAAAAGCTTCAGAATCTGATGCTGGAAACACACCAAAATCACTTGGACAGAACACTGCTGCTGCTCTGGGGCAGGGTGGTAGATACAGAATTCTCATTATGGATAGAGATAAAAATTACCACGAGAGCTTTAACATAAATCCTCAGCAAATGAATTTCAGCTTCTCAGGTCTCACCTGTACTAGGAAGGCTGCATAATAATTTGATTTACCAGAGAAAAAAACAGCATTTGTTCTCGTAATCCAGGAGTGAAACCCTCCTCCCTTGTACCGGTAGAACTCCACCAACATCTCAGGAGCTGCTCATTTAGGATGATGACAGAGGGACATTGGGCAGTCACAGAATACCCAGCTGCTCTGAATTCCTTTTCACAAGAAGCACAACCCATAACTCCAGCTCAGCACCTCCAAAAGCACCGCAACATCCCAAGAGCTTTGAAAGGTTTGGGTTTGTAATCATATTTGTAGAGATTGAGCCATACAATGATGTTAGCTCAGAGTCATGAGTTTTTGTGATAAACACACTGTGGCTGTTTTCCTGCAAGAGAGACCATCCTGTCTCAATTCTGGATATGAAAGAGAAGCAAAACCCACATAGAAGCAGAGCTGCACAAACGCTGAACGCTAAGTCCCTATAGGAAAGCTGGAACTCCGTGTCTCGTGGACAAGATTTCTGATCAAATAACAGAAAACAACACTTTTAGAACAGAATTTGCATTGATGCATCAAAAGGGAGAGTTTGTTTTTTTTAAAAAAAACAGTACACACTGCCCATAAAATAAGGTAAAGCTCATTTATGTCTCATAAAGCACGATTATCCATAGTTAACCATGAATACAGCTGCACAGCATTACAACTGCTATTCAAAGTTGGAAAGCTTTTAATATTATATATTGCTGCTGCTCAGCCTAAATTGTTTCTTCTTTTTTTTTTTTTTTTTTTTTTTTTTTTGCCTCCTTTAAATGTACACAATATTACAAATTTAATTTTAAGCTGTTTGAATCAGTCTGTAAAAGAGATTTGATTATACCTGAGTGTTCTGGCCCCAGTTTTTCCATATCTCAGTAATCTTGGCGGTAATTGGCTGATTAGCTCCCTCACACTCCATCTCTGCCTCAGTTTCCATGGTAATGTTACAGGAGCTATTATAGATGAGAACTTCATCTCTTTCCACTTTAGGGCTGAAACGAGAAGGGAGGTTAAATGGGGTGTCATCAATCTTAATGAAATGCAATTATTTTTACTCTTATTAATCATTGCAAGCCATTAGCTTGTGGCAACTCCTGGCCACCATTTGTCAAACTTTGCAAATTTCTGTAATTTTGTTTCCATTCTTTTATTGTTTATTTGTTTTTCCCCCCTTTATCTGCACGCGCTTACGATAAAATACATGCATAAATATCTCTCAGTGATGCCTTTCTGCTTCTCCAAACTATCACAAACAGCAGCAAATGCCACTCGAGGACCAAGGAAGATAAGTGCAGACAACAGCAAGGGAATCAGCAGTGCTGGGATCAAAGATGGACTCCTACATGGAGCAGGGTTTGCTCACGTCCCCCCTCCCCGTCCTACTCACACTTAGCAATAGGGAATGAATAACTTGCGACTCCCTTAGGGCAAGTGGAGAAATTGGAAAAGCCACACAACTGGCTAACTGGTCCCTAATTCCAACTGTGAAAAAATGAGCTCATTTAGGGGTTCCAATTCCTGCTACCCAGCTGATTGCAATGATGCTTTGTTGCTAGCATTGGAACATTAACTTAGTAAATTAATTAAACTTACTTAACAGCCCAGACTAAGCAGATTCGATATATGTGCCAGTTACACTAACAGACATTTGCTCCAAAGCTTCCCCTTGCACAGGAGGGGAAAGTAATAGAGAAAGTGGTGGAGAAGAGATATTTTTTCTGGGTCTTGCTGCTGACAGCTGCTGACTTTGGTAGTGTTTTGTTACGAGGAGCTATAGGATCTAAGATCCCTCAAAGTGAGGGGAAGGCTTCCCCATTTACTTCTGCAGACTTTGGAACACTTCAGTGCCACTCCTCCCTCCTTCCTTTGCCATCATGCCTTCTTGTCACCCATCAAATACACAAATACACACCTGGCAACTCGTAGGAAAGAGAGCAGAAGCTTCAAATGCCGATTTAGAATCATAGAATGGTTTGGGTTGGAAGAGATCTTATATCCAACCCATGGTTCATGGAAAGGGACACCTCCCACAACCCAAGCTGCCCACAGCCCCATACAGCCTGCCCTTGGGCGCTGCAGGGTGGGACATCCACAGCTCACCTGTTCCAGTGCCTCACCACCCCATGTAAAGACTTTTACTCAACAAAATAGAGGATCAGGTTGGTAGAGTCAGGATTTTCAGGAGTTTCCAGCATCCTGAAAGATCCAACTAACAGGATTTGCTGACACACCGAAGTCATAAGCCAAACTGCTACCTAAGTCAACCCAACAGCCAGAGCTTCCTTGAGAGCACAGCGATCAGGATCATTTGGTGAACCTGAATTTTTAAAGCTGGGCTGGGTATGATGGCTCAGTGAGCAAACAAGGAGCTGCTCTAACTGCAGGTAGGGGCCTTTGTTCTGTTGCCCCTTTTTTTTAGGGCAGGAGGAGGTTAATGCGCTAAAGGAAGCAGCCAGAGTCGCAGCAGCGACAGAAAAAAAGAAAAGAAAAGCTTCCTGCAAGTAGCTGAACCTTTTTAACAGTGAATTTTTATTTCTATATTTAAATGAACCTTTCCCTCTGCTGTATCAATAATCAAAAGCCAGCCGTAGGGAACTACACTCGCTTTTGATAGCAACACTTTGAGAACTGCTCTTGTCCTGCGCGATAATTCAATGGACTGGGCTATCTTTCAAGACTGCAGAGTACTTCTTTTTCATGCTGCAAGAAAAAGCTGCATCTTTAAATAACCAACTATTTTAAAGGGAGAAGGGGCATGTTTTTGGCTCACACAGCTCAGTTGGCAACTTGACGCTAATTGAAGTCAATGGAGAGGAACTCCAAGTGGTAATCATAGAATCACAGAGTCACAGAATGGCCTGGGTTGCAAAGGCCCACAGTGCTCATCCAGTTCCAACCCCCTGCTGTGTGCAGGTCACCAACCAGCAGACCAGGCTGCCCAGAGCCACATCCAGCCTGGCCTTGAATGCCTGCAGGGATGGGGCATCCACAGCCTCCTTGTAGGCAAAGAGCCAACTCCTTGCTGTCCTTGAAGAAGTGCACCAGTATCTGTGATGCAGGACGATGTTAAGGAACGGCACGGTTTTACAAGAAGGTGCAATTTGTGACAGAGAATCAAGGGAGCCATTCACTCAGCAGCGATGTTAACAGACAGTTGCCCTTTTCTTTTCCTAAGGAATATGCATTTGCCACTAGGTGGGCATAAAGTACAGACTACACTAGAAGAAGCTTTGTTCAAAACACCTAAAACTATTAAGAAAGAACAGGAAAGTCTGAATGTGTAGTTAAGTCAGCCATGCTTTCTATGCCTTAGCTCCCATCCCGGATGAATGTCTGAACTGCTGAACCTTTCTGCAGAACTCATTCATTTGGTTTTTTATTATTATTTTCACTTACAATTATTAGTTAGAGCAACCAGCATGCATTATTTCAGGAATTCCCCAAAACGACTCATCCTCATCAGCCCTCCTTTTCTGTCCTCTCCCACAGTGAGCAAAACCCACTTTAGAAATGGATTCACCAGAAAAACACATCGATGTGCTGGAAAATTCCTTTTGAGCCCATACTTGAAGTTCTACACAAAGTATGAGTGTGAACACAGTAGGAGGGAAATTTAGTGACAACTTAAAAAGGTTTAAGTTTGAAAAAAGCAAAAACAGTAGGTAAAAGGATGATTGATTTGATCTAGAACCTGAAGAGATGTTAAACTCTTTCTGGGACGCAGACAATTAAAAAGGGCAAAAACATTGATAAGAAAAATAATGAAGCAGTCATAAAATGAACTGTGTGACTTTCCGTCACATGACAAACTCAGGTTCAGACCTCCCACCCCCTTCACTCCACAGACACCAGGATGAAGCAGCAGAACTGGAGAAATCCAAACCAGGAAAATGAGCAAAGAGAAGAACCATCATAATAATTCCCCCAATACAGATTTGTAATCAGTAAAGAGCTGAGCATAATTCTGAAAGCAGTAAGTGAAAGCAGTAATCATGGGCTGCCTCATCACTCTCAAGTCTGAGTTACCTGGTGCCCTTCTACGACGGCATAACTGCATCAGTGGACAAGGCAAGAGCCACTGATGTTACCTATCTCAACTCCAGTAAGGCCTCTGACATGGTACCCCACAACATCCTTCTCTCCAAATTGGAAAGATATGGATTTGATGGGTAGACTGTTTGATGGATGAAGATCTGGTTGTGAGATTGTATCCAAAGAGTGGTGGCCAATGGCTCAATCTCTGGATGGAAAGCAGTGAGGAGTGAGGAGTCAATACCGGGACTGGTGCTCTCTAACATCACTGACATCAGCATGGGGTCGAGTGCACCCTCAGCAGCCTGTGGATGACACCAAGCTGTGGTGTGCAGTTGACACACCCAAGGGACAGGATGCCATCCAGAGCAACCTAGACAGGCTGAGAAATGGGCACAGGTGAACCTCATGAGGTTCAGCAAATCCAAGTGCAAGGTTTGAAACTGGGTCACGGCAACACCTGCTGTCAGTACAAGCTGGGGGATGTAAGGAATGAGCACAGCCTGGACAGCAAGGACCAGGGAGTACTGGTGGTGGACATGAGCCAGCACTGTGCCCTCATAGCAGTTGTGATGGGACAAGGAGAAATGGCTTCAAACTAAAAGAGGGGAGATTTAAACTGGATACAAGGAAGAAGGTTGTTATGATGAGAGTAATTAAGCACCGGCACAGGTTGCCCTGAGAAGCAGTGGTGCCCCATCCCTGCAGACAGCCAAGGTCAGGCTGGATGGGCTGTGAGGACTGATGGAGTTGTGGGTGTCCCTGCTCAGTGCAGGGAGTGGGACAGATGGCCTTGAAAGGGCCCTAACAACTCAAACCATTCTATAATTACCTGCCTTGGAGTTACCCTGCTAATAGCAAAAGGAAAGCAAAGCTCAGCAAGGCAAGGCAAAGCCCCTGAAATTTCTTGTTTTGAAGCTAAATCCTTCAGCTTAATTTCAAGTTGCTCCCTCCTATCCCTTAAGTTTCTCTGTTCTTGTGTCCCCTAATACACCCATCCTCTCCATCTCCCAGGATGCTATCAGACACTACCAAGGCACTACAAAGGCTTTGGACACGCCAGCTGTCCAGCTGTACATATCCACTGCCTGGCCTGCAGCTTGCTGACAATGTGCAGATTAGGGTAGAATTCTACTTTCCCCTCCCTCAAAAGGAAACTAATTTCTTCCTGCCCAGCTGAGATTTTCTCTAAACTGGCAAGAATTCCATAATTCTTAAGACATCCAATCCTTATGAAACCCAGCTCGAGTTTATCAGAGCTCAAAAGCTGATGGGGTAAAAACAACAGACAGGCAGATGCTACAACTGTATTATTGCTGTCCTTGTTCAGTATTCACCAATTCTTCTCACCTCAACACAGGGCATCCAGAAATCCCTTGATGACTCGTAACACTACTGGTGGCATAAGAACCAGATAAGGATGAGGATCAAAACTCTGCAACGCCACTGAAGAAGCTGGACTGCACCAACGAGCACACCCCATTGAAACAAAGCATACACAGCACTGCAACGATATTCTAATTCCCTATTCAAGGGCTTAAGTGTCTTTTGCAGAGTGCAATTCATCTATTTATTCCTTACTCCGAGCCTTTCACTCCTGGAAGTACACGCTCTGCAGGTATAGGTCTCTACAGCTCTATCAAAGGCAAAGGTAACAATTCACACTTCCAGGCAACTTGGTCTTGGATTTGCAAAACCCAACCACCCCTTGCTGAGTAAATGTTGCACAGCCTGCTGAATTTTCTCTGCAACTTTTTACTCATGAAACTGCTTGGAGAGAGGAAGGGGGGGGAAAAAAAATACAAAGGCTTCTGCTTTTCATAATGCCTAATCTTTTTCCCCATTGGCATCCACCAGATGTTGCTTTGGATCAGAAGATAAATATTAAAACCTAAGAAGGAACAAAGCAGGCTGTTTACGAGATGGATTTTCTGATGTTTCTCAAACCCTTTAAAAAAGACGGGAGAGGAGGGGAGGGGGGGCGAATAGAAATGCTTTGATAGACACAAGGAATGAATTTCACGACCCAGCAGAGCTCTCTAGCGGTCTCAAGGCTAAATTGCTCTGCTGGCAGCAGCCTAAGAGTTAGGAAACACATCCTGATGTCAACCCGAGAATTAGGAATTATTTCCTTCTGCAGTCCATCGTTTGGCAGGGGCGGTGAATACCTTCTGGGTAGAACTAACCTGGCAACGAGTCCAGCAATGTGGCTCTGGGAAGGGCTGGTGTCCCCCTGCAGCTGCTGAGCTTGGCTCTGCCCACATAGATACAGGTAGGACCCGGGTCCTTGCTGGCGGTAGGAACCCACCATGACTTGGACATCACATTCGATAATGGTGGATCTGTCCTCTTGGCAGTTGGCAGAAGAGTGGGTCAGGCTGCAGAGAAAGGCCAAGGACGCTGCGAAGACAGGAAGGGAACGAATCACGGAATGGCTTAAGTTGGAAAAAAGCTTAAACCCCACCCAGACCCAATTCTGCTAGGGACTTTTTGCTAAAACCCCCACCTTGAACCAGCTACAATTCTCCTTGCAGAGGGGTACCAGGGACAGGCGAAGCAGTGCCCAGACGTGGCACCAGGCTGGGACATCCACTGCCTCCCTTCCAAAAATGGGATGAGGGCCTGGGTTGAAAAGGAGCACAATGATCACCCTAGTTCCAACCCCCTGCTGTGTGCAGGTCGCCAACCAGCAGCCCAGGCTGCCCAGAGCCACATCCAGCCTGGCCTTGAATGCCTGCAGGGATGGGGCATCCACAGCCTCCTTGGGCAACCTGTGCCAGTGCCTCACCACCCTCTATCCAGATGCTTCCCAAAACAGGCCCAGCAAGGCAAAACCCTCTGCCAGGGCACATTTGCTGCCCTTCGGTGAAGCTGTGGGATCTCAAGAAGGAGAGCAAAAGAGCTGCCCATGGGCCAGCCATCCCATCACAGCACCCCAGAGAGGAGGACATGCTGACCCCGGTGTGATTTGAACACACAGCCTTCTGATCTGGAGTCAGATGCGCTACCATTGCGCCACGAGGTCAGGGACAATCACCCAGAGCAGCCCACGGGTCACTGATGCTAAGCAGATGTTGGCTACACGTGTCACTGCTTCCCTTCATGCATCCCAGCCTCTGGTTTGGTACATCTTTCTGGGGGTGAACTGCTTTCCCAGCAGCTCCCTGTTTCATGCGGTGTGCCTGAACGTAACTCCCCTTGTATGACAAGGATCCACATCTCTGGGATTGAAAGATCTGAAATCCAGACGCAGATTTAGTGACTGCCGTACAGCCTGGAGGGCTTCTGGGGCACTTAGGTGAATGGGGGGACCAGTTAAGCACCATGGGTATGCTAAGAGATGTGATGGGAGCGGCTGCTTTGCTTTGAAATGGATTTAAGGAAAAAGATGTGAACAGAAATTAAGTTTTCCTATTGCCAAATCTAGAAGGGGAAAAAAAAAAAACCAAAACCCCACAAAAAAACCTTCAAAAATATGAACCATTATTTGGAATAATAAGAAAAAGATTGCCTGCATCTTCACAAAATTTGCACTGATAGTTCTCGCAACCAAAAAAGACCCCTTCCTCAAAGATCTCAGGAACAAGAGACAGAGCTAACAGGCAGAGAATCCTAAAGGAGTGGTGGTATCATGCCTATATTGCTACTTTTATTGTCCAGAAACTATGCCTAGAGACACCTGAGCAGTCTGTAAGACTGCTAAGTCTAAGTCTATAAGTTCCCAAAGAAGCCTCATGCTTTCTTGAAGGCCTGGCTGCCATTGCCAGGTGTCTTTCAAACAGTCCTACCTGCACCTGTGTTTTGGCAAATGACTATCAGACTATCAGAAGGACTAAATGCTGCAATTAACTCGCCTTTGCAGTATTTTTATCTGCAGTAAAACAAATTCATTAAAAGAATTCCTTTTCATTCTGTAAGAGGGTAAGGCTCGTTCTGCCTTACTAGCGGTAGGAAAGGCTGTGACACAACCAGATGTGGTCATGGAGATGATACAACTGGATTTGATGTCTAACCAACAACGGCAATAATAAAGGACATACACTCCTTAAACACACCTAGAACAACCTAGAAAGGGACTTCATTTCCATACACTACTGCTTCTGTCCATTGGATGTTGATACCACTACTTGTGTCCATTTCTCATCCCTTCCTTGAGGATTTACGAGGTTCTGATATTTCCATATTACCCTTCCCAATTAGGAAGAAGTCTTCCTCTGACCACTAAATGCAAATAACCCTTGGTAGCAGAAAGCTGCCATTCTCTCCTGCAACAAGAGAAATAAATAAATACCAATTCAAGATGGTAGCACACTTAGCATATCCTGGAAGTGCATACTCTACTCATTCCGGGATGCCTCTCCCTGCTTAATTCTGAATCCCAGAATATAGCTTCTTTATGCTTTATCTATCCTGTAAATACAGACCCCGCTGATCACATGTTACACAATCCCATCACCAAGATTAATGCATTCATCCCATCAGAGCATCTCTTCTGAGGTCAGACATGATGGCAGCCAAAACTCTGTGTGTCAGGGATGGGTTAAGGACCGGCTGCCCCCAGCCCTCTCTTTGAAGGATGCTCTGGCTTAAGCCAGGACCCTGGGCTGTTCAGCACCAGGGCTTTGTTCTGGGTCGCTGTTTAATAACAACTGTTGGACATGTGATGAGGCTAAACCCTACAGGAGATCCAAGGGCAGCTGCAGATTGATTGAACAACTGCCCAAAGAGTCCCGGTGCCAAATCACACATCTATGCACCGCTCTCATAGCTGGCAGCAGAGCGCAACGTTAACTTCCACTCAGCAGAGAGAAAAAGCAGGTTACGAATGAAAGAAATAAAAATTGAAAATAAAGGCAAAAGGAAAAGGAGAGGAAAAAGAGAGACCTTCTAAGGTCATCAAGTCCAGCCTCTCCCTATGAAGAATTGCTCCCTACGAGACATTCATTTTGCACAGCCGGGTTTCAGAAGTCCCAGGAGGTGACTTGGCAAGCATCTATTCCACTGCCTGATAGATCTCACTGTCAGAACACTCTTGCCATGTAATCAATATGCTTCCCCCACCCCCCGCCCCCCCTTCTTAATTTCGTTTCCAGATTTGAAGGGCAGAAGGCACCATTTGGACGCTTTGGTTTGATATCTTCAATAAATGTGAGAGACCCTTGCCTCTACTCACATTTCAATTGCTACAGCACTTCCTCTTCGGGTCCTCTGCACCTATATGTGCAAATCTCCCCATTTCCCTCATTATATTCCCTGTGGCCCTACTCAATGGATCCCCTTGGTACACTTCATTGCTGCATCCAAAGCTACTTCCCCTCATTCCTTCTGCTCCAAACAAGGAGCTCCAATAAGCCACGTCTCTCTTCCTTTTTAACCAGCCTCATTTCATTCATTCCTAGTTTTTAATCTAAACCATCTTCTCTAAGCATCCACTTCTACCAATGTGACATGACTAATGGCAGGTCAGAGATTTGCTCACAAAGATCCTACATAAAAAGCCTGGGCTTGCATTCTTACTTCTTGTGCTCTGAATGAAGCACACTGCGCCCAGGTTACACCAATGGTCAACCCCCAAACTCTCTGCAAGCCCTTTTCTTATGGGAAGACCCCATGAGACAGATTCATGGATGACCAGTGGTTCCTCACACCTTAGAAAAACATCTGTTTAATGGGAAAAAAAAGTCCCATTGCCCATCTGCAGAGGGTTTGACCATATCAGAAAGCTAGAGGGACCAGCTAAGGACTCCCACATGAACATATCTCATCGTGGACAGGTTGAACACAACACGCCCCACCACTAAGAAGGGAAGAGAGCTTCCCTGACATCCCCAAGCTATGCAGGGAAGGCATTTCCACTTCATGATGTGTTCCAACAGGAGAAACACAGCTCGAGCTCTCATTTAGCATCCCCTGGGCTAAGTGAAGAGCTGGGAAATGGGAACTGAGCTTCACACCTGGCTGCAGCAGCCCCTGCACTGAAGGGACCTTATAAGCCCAGGACCACTCCCTGTGCTCCTCTTCATAGCTGACATCCATAGAATCCCTTTGCCACCTCTTTCACATGGAGGAAGCTACAAAAGAAAGGATGTGAGAGCTGCAAGTGGCAAACTCCTGCATGCACATGGCAGCAGGTAAAGAATGTGATGAGACTGCACGTAATACCCTAAATTGTGGAGGATGTAAGACACAAAATATTGGGGGGAAGGTAGCCTGGAAAGCAACACTAGTGTTATACATAAATGTGCAGCCACATGCACACAGCCTACATACATCTCTCAGTGACTGTAAATAGCCTAGTGAACCCACAAAGGACTTTTTTTAACTGGGAGAAAAAATCCTGTAAATGCATCGACACACATTACAGAAAATAATTTGGTAACTCAGCTGCTGAGATGAGTAAAGTGCAAAAACCACAGCAGGTAACAGAGGGGGGGTGACTTCTAAGTGGACCTAAACATGTGTCCTTTTGCTTGGGGAGGTATCACTCCTTTTGCATCTTCTCATCCAAAAACCTCAGCCAGCAAGTGGGCAGCAATCAGCATTCACTTGCTGACATCTCGTGTTGGGAAAAAGAACTGCAGAGCTGCCTGTAAGATGGATTTCCCCAGGCTCTCCCCTCTGCCGCCTCATCCCCCAGTGAATTTTGAACACAGTTATTAATGCTTTTACAGTTAGGATCAATTTGATTATATTTTGGTTCTGCTGTTCTTCCTGCAATGACTAAAATGCCTTGTTTTATATGCTGGTTTTTTTTTTATATTGTTCAGTTTTGTTTTTTTCATGCTGTTTGCACTCCAGCTTATGAACCATACACAGATCCCTGTTGATTGCCTGAGCTTTGGTTTGGGATTCTCCACACCTAAACATCTTTTTCTTTTTTTTTCTTTCTTTTTTAATATATAATGGTATTCCCCAGGGATCAGCAAAGTAAACAATTCTGAAAGACAAGAGAAACTTCTGGATTTCATAATAACTGAGGGTGACATGGTGGTGATGCGTTGACAGTTGGACTAGATTATCTTAGTGGTCTTTTCCAACCTTAACAATTCAGTGATTCTATAAAAGGGACTTCAGGACACCTCTCACCCCAACCCCTGCCCACAGCAATGCTGAATTTCAAGTTGTTTACATCAGTTTCTCAGCAGCTGATCAAGTCAACTTCTGACTGTTCCCAAGGATGGAGTCTTCACGCCTTTGAGGAGAACCTTGGCAATCTAACCTCATGGAAACCTTCAAAGCCACTTTTCTTTCAGGTCTCCAGATGAGATCTCTGGTCATTTGGACAGCCACAGAATCACAAGGATTTCTGTAGATCTCCAGATTTTCCTCCCAGCGTCAAATCTATGGAGCTGCTAAGATCTGTTCCACCACTACTGCAATAGTGATAGATACCTGCAATGCTGCAGCACCAAGGTAGTCACTCTATACATAGTGTTTAGGGAACTGAATACATAGAAGCACAGGATCATAGAATATCCCAAGTTAGAAAGGACCCATGAGGATCGTTGAGTCCAACTCCAGCCTCCAGATAGCACCACTCAAAAATCAGAGTTTATATATCATGATGGGATTTAAAAATCTTAAATACTGCCTCTTGCCAGCATTAGGAGCTTAGTAATGTGCTGCCAGTGCGAGGAAATACATCTTCTTCAAGCATGTGCCCGTTTGGAGGAGTTTTCTCCAAAACTGAGGCAGTTATTTCTCTTTGAGAGAGACAGAACTGGCAACATTCCCTACTGTGCTGCCTCTCTCCTGTTAAATAGGATGCTCTACCTGAGGGATGATCTCATGTTGCTCTCAAGGAATTCAAATCCTCAACTCCGGCTTTCCAAAGGTATGAATTGGCCATAGTGTATCATTCACACTTCCAGACATTCACCTTGTTCCACCAAACTCATATCCCACTGAAGCTGTCCCATCATACAGCCAAAAGCCACAGAAAAGACATTTAAGGTAGCTTGAATCATAGAGCGGCTTGGGTTGGAAGGGACCTCAAATATCATCAAGTTCCAACCCTTTTGGTTCTGGGCCATAAAGAACTGCTGTCACTTCACACCTCACACAAAGCCATGAAGCATGTGTGGCAGCTCAGGCCACAAATGGATCCAAAGCCCATGGCCACAGATGCAAAAACATCCCTAACACCAACAGACTTTAGAACAAACTCAAAAAACAGAAGCTTATGTTGGTTCCTCACTTCTCTCCAGAGCTGATTCTACTTTCTTTTCCCACAGGATAATGTACACTGCAACCACACTCCCTTTTGGGTCAAAATATGGTTTTAGGGGTATTTTTAACACAAAGCCAGATTTTGTATCTTAGCTGACCTTGTAAGCGTGGTGCAAGGCAGCTAAGGCTCGTTGTTGTTGCATTGTCCAACATTTCACAGGGGCTGCCACAGATGGTGACCAAAGTCTGCCCTGGGGAAAATCCAGTTCCATGCAGGTGAACCACTCCTCCATTCAAGCCACCTTAGAGAAGAACAGAAAATGAGATGTAAGATATAGCCCAGTAGCTAGCAATCAACAGGAACAGTTCTATCAACTAAAAACTTGTGCTGTCATGCAAAAAAAAAGTAAAAATAATCACATCCATCACCACCAATAATCCATCACACAGCACCTCTTAGAGGAAGAACCATTTGTGACTCACCCCAGTTGCAACGCACAGCTGTCACCATCAGCTGAGAGATGAAGGTCAGGTTGGAGGAAGCCCAGCCTTTGGGGACATGCAGACCCACCACAGGGTATTCACCAGCAGGGAGCAGAGGAGGAGAGCACTGCAGCTCCGAGTGAGTGATGGTGACACCCCTACAAGCAGAGTCTCCAACAAATACATGGATGGCGTCCATCTCCATGACCTGTGATATATTTATTGTTAATAGGAGGCCAGTCACAACAAATGAAAGGAAAGCTGGCGTAGACTCCTCACTGTAACTAATTTCTCCAATATCATAGGAGATGCCATCTACTGTCAGCCTCAGTGCCCTAGAGCCATTGCCTGGGGGCACCGTGCACTGGATGGCTATACAGGTGACATTGAGGATGAGGCAGGGTTGCTGACCAATGAGAACAGATGTCCTGCTCTTTCCTTTCAGTGCTGCACCTGCAAAAGTGAGCAGGCCTCCACCATTGGTACTGAAGTTTTGGGGGTAAAACTGATGGACTTGAGGCGTGATGGTGAGAGCACTGGATGTATTTCTGAAGCAAGCTTGCCCACTTCTTCTGTTGGATACAGAGATGTTATATTCCCCTGGGGCAATGCAGTCCATCTGGCACCTGATGCTGGTCTCATTCCAGAAAGTGACCTTGCAGACAGCCTGGTCGTTCACGTGCACCACAGGGCTGTCACCTGGCCATGCCAATCTCTGCCCTCTGATGGTCACATTGGTGTACATCCCACTGGTCTCCCATGTCACCGCATCTACAAGGGGAGTTGACTGCTCGTGAAGGTGGAGCATACAATCCCCAAGGCAGACACTGCTGATTCCATTGACAGTCACTGTGACATTAAGAGCCCAAGACACCTCAGCCCACCACTGGTAAGGCAAAAAGTGTGTCCCTGAAAGGACCACGCACGTAATGGTATTGTTGTCAGAGCTCTGGAGCTCACAGGAATAATTACCATCCAGGCTGACCTGTCCCAGCTCTCTTCTGGATCTTAAAGCAATCCCTGATATAGTAAGTAACATCCCACCACAAACAGACCCATCTGATGGGAATATGGAGGTTATCCGTGGAGTTACTGTGATGGTCTGCAGCCTTGCTGTCACATGAGAATATCCAAGCTGTCTCTGGATAACCTGGATAGGGTAAATCCCAGGTTCCAGGTTGCTCAGTGGTAAAGAGCATTCATAAAACATTGCAGACTCATTGCCACGTTGCAGCTCAAGCTCACACTCGCTGTCTCCCAGCTTAGCTACAGATCCAGTGATGTTTACCCCCTGGATGCTCAAGAACAGGCTACTCTCCAAAATTTCCAGTTCAACTGTGGTAACCAGAGGTGTCAAAGCTCTTTGGTAATTAAAGGTGATGCTTTTTGCAACAGGAACGTTTTGAAATGAGCTATTGCTAATGAGTATATTTACTCTGACAGGGACATCTTGAGAAACTTCATTAGAGAAATTAGCAGCTGGCGGGGTCAGACACCAAATGGTCTCTTCTGCCAAGCGGGTAACCAGACAGGTTTGTTCATTTACTGAAACAGAAACCAGGGACCGATTTTGGCTAAAGCCCAGCCCTGAGATTGTGAGCAGCGTTCCACCTTAGGAGAGAAAAAACAAAAAACAAAACAAAGAATATTATGTGCAAGAAGGGAATGAATGACTGTTTGTGAACTGTCTGTGTGCTGAGGATAAGAACAGCATTCAAGTAGCAATCCGGATTTTTTAGGAAGTGATGAGAAAGATGCAAAACCTTCAGCATTCCCAAGTTAATTCCACACTTCTAAGCCCATAGCAGCCTCACAAAGCCAGCTGAAACATCTCTCCATCTCCATTTAGTTAGCCTCTCAGTGCCCTGCCTGCTTAAGCACTTCACAAAACTGCAGCCAAGAGTTAATCAGTGGTTACCTTCCAATGTACCCCCTAAAAATGAAAAGAAGGGTGCAATACTTTTTTTTCTTAACACAGTTAACTCTTCAGAAGTAACAGCCCTTGCCCTCTAAGCTCAAACTAATCTCTTTTCTTTAAAGGCTGGGAATGGAATCGAGGGAGGACCTGAAGTCACCTCACAGAAATTTCTGTCTTCTCTACACGAGCTCCAAAGGGTCCATGTAATATTCACCAAATGGATTCAACTCTCCTCCACCCCGCAGGCAAATGACAAAATAGGATAACCCAAAATCTGTGCTTCGAGATCTCAAGTGAAATTTTTGTGTTTACTTCAGTGATAATTTGCTCTGAAACACAGTTAAATTATTTCCAGTGTTTAAAGTATGGAATAGGATTAATCAATATTTCATTTTTGACTAAAGTTAACACTGAAAAAGGCTTTTTTGTGTGTTCAAGTTCAGGAAAATAGGTATCTCTTTTGGGACAGATTGAAAAGAGTGCTTGCTTGAAACCAGGCTTGCGCCCTACCATCCACTTAACTTCCATGCATAAAGTCATGAAAGATGGAGGCGTAATGACTGAAAGATACAGCATGCATGAGTCAGGTGTGGGTGTGCTTTGTTTCCCCAAAGGGAACATGCAAAGACTTGGGAAAATCAAACTCGAAGCACAGGGACCCCTGAGCCAGCCAACCAGATCGAGGGATGCTTGCTGAAATCCCACGTTCCCAGGCTGCTGCAGTCTGATGTCTGCATAATAAAGAGTCACAGATTTAAGACACCCTCATTTAAACTGCTGTGAAACGGGATGCCCTTTCCAGCCCTGCAGGGAAACTGTGCCCTTGATCCCTTTAACCTCCGTAAGTGGCTGCAGATGTACTGCCTTTATTTACCCAGGAAAGAGCCGCAACACGGCTCGATGCTGAAGACCTCCGAGACGTAGTGGATTAATGGCTCAACCCTGCAAAACAAGCAACACAGAAGGTTTGGGGGTTTTGCTTTCTTTCTGGAACATCTTTGATTTCTTTAACTGGAAAAGGGCAGATTTAGACTAGATATTAGCAAGAAACCCATTACTGTGAGGGTGGTGAGACACTGGAACCAGTTGCCCAGTGAATCTGTGGATGCCCCCTCCCTGGAAGCCAGGCTGAACGGGGCTGTGAGCAACCTGGTCCAGAGGGAGGTGTCCCTGCCAATAGCAGGGGGTTAAAACTGGGTGATCTCTTCCAACACAAAGCATTTTATGATTCTATTATGAATATTGTCTCATGGCAACCTGTGGGCCAAGCGCAGTCCATACAGCACAGTGAACTGCCTATCAGAACCAACAAGAACGTGGAGGTTTCTGCTAAACAGATCCCAGCATAGCCATGTCAACAGATGCAACAGCTCTAAAGATCCCAGCTGCCTTTCTTTCCCTGCTCCTCCCTTGGGAAGTGGACCGAGGAAAAACCAGGTATAACCTCCAAAAAGGCACTCAGACAGGGGTGTAGCTTGGCTTTCCCTCTTCAAATGAGCCCTAAGATACCAAACAGGATGGAGAAGAAAATTAAATCTTAAGGGAAGTGTGCACATTCACACACCTGTTTGAAGCAATAGCAACACCACTGATGATAACAGAAACGTTGTACCATCCCACAGCCAAGGCTGGAAGCGTCACATTAAGGCCACTGTCCATCTGCACCTGGATTTGTGCCCACACGCCCCCAATTTGGACCTTGATATCTGACCCTCGGTAGTTCGCAAATGAGGATATTCCAATCTGAAGCTCCTGACCCCCTGCAAATGGGAGAAATGATGAAATTATTTCAGTAGCAATGGTTATTTTAGCACATAAAACCATTAGGTGCAGTCATGTCCATCAGCCAAAACCCAGAAACTGGAAGACTGCAGTCTTTGTGTTCTATTAATTCCTTTGCTTTCTCAATAAGACCATCAGGTATTAATAGTGTGAACTTGGCTATATTCACCTAAAGCCTAAATATCTATTGATAGATATTTAAGGTAAGATCCATGCCCTCAGTACAGATATCCTAAACATACACACCTTGCTAGAGCCAAATCCAGACTTTCTGCAGCTCATAGACTGGAGCTGAGTGAGGGATTGTTCCAAAATCCCTGCAAAGATTCAGACCACTCTTTTCAGCACTATGAGAGTATCTAAACTTCAATGGAATCTCCTACAACTAACTGAAAATTTCCTTAGGGGCCTAAAATCAGATGTCCGTGCACGCTCCATAGCACCTTGTTTGCAGGAAACAGGTCAGTCTCCCCAGTTTAAGTTCTGTTGTGAGATGAATTATACTGAAGATAGAGGTCATTTTGCCTTGTGTTTTCTGTAGTAATAGAAAAGGACAAGGACTGTGGGGAAGGGAATTTTGTAACACAAATTCCTCCTGAAATAGCTTAAAAATTTAGACTGGCCATGTATCAGTCCAAATAAAGGCTCTGAGATAGCTTTCTCATCAGTGAGGAGAAACAGTTCTTATGGCATAATTCACCTTCTTTTAAGGAAGATTTCCAAAGGAGCAGTAGTGAATCCTACCACAAAACTGCCAACTTCTCTTCACTGACCACATAACGAGCACAGGCAGAGATGTGTTCAGGAGATCAATCACATCCCTTTCTCACCTCTGAAAGACACACAGGACAGAAGGGGTCTTCCAGCCTAACTCCCTACCATCACAGACAATCCTGAATTCAGACAGAGGATGCTAAAATCCCCTTACCATGCACACGAGCAGGTAGCCTGACATGCTCATCTACACGCAGAATATCTACCCAGTGTCAGCTCTCCCAGAGCAGCCCCATTTTCACCCATTCCTCTTCCTCCCTGAACTCACTTGACATAAGAAGTTGACCATGGCACATCTCACACCGTTATCCCAGCCACACAGGGATGGCTAAGTTACTTTATTAAGACAAAGGGAGAGCATAAAAAGAACTTTTGTAGGTTAATTCATCCTAAAGCTTCAGATCTGAGTAGCAATTTTGACTACGAAGCACAGACTGAGACCACTTGGCTCTAACACAGCCTCCCCAGCAGGAACGATCACTGCAGCCTCAGAGAATCCTCTCCTTTCCACAAAGCAGGAGAAAAGCTCCTCTGAGAAGTCGTGGAAAGCAGTGCTCTTCCATTCAGCACGCACAGAGTCAAAGTTTGAAAGCCTGTGAAGCTGAATATATTAATAACATGAACTCTTTGGACTCTTGGTCAATTGTCAGCTTAATCCTAGATGCCTGGAAGGCATCGGTGTAATTTATTTATTCTTTTTATTATATGGGAGGAAAATTATATTAAAAGCTGAAGCTGTGGAGGTTCTGAATAGAAGATTGAACTGAGTCCCAGCATCGTTCAGGAGACACTATAACATTAAGGAGTTCCTTGCACCTGGGCTGCCCACGGCTAGAACAATCTCCCCTTGGTGCTATCGTATCTGAATAATATTCAGATGATAAAGGACGTTTTCTCTTACTTATGCATTCTGGAGTAATAGGAAATGACAAGGGCATTGGGGAAAGGGATAGAAATGTCAGGTGTGCAGCAGGCACTGCGCCTTGTTGCCATCACAGCTGTCTCGCCCCCTGCATCCATGCCAACTCTCCGAGCTGGAAGGAGCTTTGTTAAGATATGCATTAAGAAACTGGAAAAAGAAACTTCAGAGTGTATCCTTGTAGGAATGGAAGTGGGACACATTTAAAAAATAAAACAAAAAACAAAACAAAACAAAAAAAAAACCCGCAAGAATATTTCTGTTCTCTTCTTAGTTTCCTAGAGGGAGGTATCCTTGCCTATAGCAGAGAATTGGAACTAGATGATCTTGAAAGTCCCTTCCAATCCAAACCATCCTATGGCTCTTACTGTTTTTCCTGTAGAGGGAGAGGAGAGAACAGCTGAGGTCAGGTTGGGTTCTTCAGCCTCACGTACTGGAAACCAGGCCTGGATGCCCCTGAGTCCCAGACCACAGACTTGCCTCAGCCAGCACAAAGAAGGAAGACTGTGGCCAAACTCCTGCTCATTTCTCTTTTGACAGCACTGAGAATCAAACCCTAGATTGCAGTACGCCTCCCTGGATGGGCAAAGTACAGAAAAGATTGGTCTGTGTATGATTGATGTATAATATTAGAATAGTAGGATCCCACATCTCTAGCCCTGCTGTGGTGGGAAGCCTACTGCTCAATCCATTGGTAATAAAACAGGTTCTGCCTGACAGGAGACTTTGCAGTGTCTACACAAGCTGTGAAAGAAATAAAGAAACAGCTTCAAATCACAGAATTGTAGGGGTTGGAAGGGACCTCTAGAGATCATCGAGTCCAACCCCCAGGTGCCAACAGGAAAATAGAGGTTCCAATTCCTAACTCGGTGTTTTTTTTCTTGTTAACCAGTGCTGTGCTAATTGTCAGGGCACAGAAAGCTAAATACACCTACAAAAAGCCCTGGAAGAAGGCAAAAGGATCTCAGTTTGGGGGATGCTTGGTCCAAGATCATTTCAGTCAACCCTAAAGGTGGCAGCTGAGCTGGTGATGGTTTGTGTCTTAAAGAGAGTATTTAAATCTAGTAATCAGCACCACTGTCTTGTTGCTGTCGTTTTAAACTCAATTTGAAGCTAGTAAAGCAAGAGTCTATGGAATGAGTCAGGAAGAAAGAGGCATCACCCTCTGACTACAGCTCACTTGTTAGGGTCCTGAAGAAGTACATTCTCTAGCACCCATTTACCTAGCCATTGCTGAACCTGTTACCAAGAATGGATGAGTGGGGCCATTCCAGAGCAAAGCCAGAGAAATATGACTTTGGAAGAGCATCATAGCACACTTAGCACTGAGGACATGACGCATATTGGACTAAGGCAAGCAACTCATCATCCCAGGCTGGATGGGGCTCTGAGCACCTGTTGGAGCTGTAGGTATCCCTACAGGGAGTGGAACCAGATGGCCTTTAAGGGTGTCTTCCAACACTCATTTTTCTATAGTCTTATATGAGCTAGAGAAAAAATACAAAGCAGGCAGGAGTGACCAGAACTTGCAGGGGACATATGGGCAACAAGTTAGAAGAAACCAACAGGGAAGAGCTTAATACCACTAAACTCCCTAGACCTCAATCACCTCCATCCAGCCAGCACTGGCAATAACAACAGGGCTGCAGATGATGCCTGACACATCTATAAGCACTTTTCACCTGCTAAGCCACTTCTGTTTCTGCTCAGTGATACAATTGCAGGGTTTAAGGAAGGGTCATACTGGAACAAGTTGGTGAATGCTGTTGATTGGTACCCAGAAACTAGTGTCACATGGACAGCAGCATCTTCTGCCCCCTGGAAATAGAAGCAAAGAAAGCATCAGGAAAAAGACTGAACCAATAAAAGAAAAATAATTATTTCCTAGGTTCGTGTATCTCCCACACCCAGTAAGTCAGGCACATGGTGTTCCCAAATTTGTATATGCATTAGACTTGCAATCTGTTGGTGTTTCTGACTGCTCCACTCAGTTTCATAAATCAAACACTGTTGTTAATTAAGCTGGTCTAAACTGTAGGTGGAGTCTGGGCTCAAATGTCCCACAGCCAGGACTTGGCTGATGGACTACCATCTGCTTAGGCCAGGGCTATGTAAAAGGCTTGTAGGCTACCACTTAACTGACTGTATCCCAAAAATACGTGGTTTCTTACCCGAGAGGGAACTTTACATTCAATTTGTGTTGAACTTCTGGTATCCTCCAAAATTGGGCAAGGCTGAGATCCAAACAACACCAGGTCTACCCCTTCCAGACCAGTCCCCCTGAGAGCCACTCTCAGTCCTCCTACAAAACCAATTATTTTTAATTACATGAAAGATGTGGAATAGTCTCCTTATCATGCAGAAGATCCTTAATTACTAGATGACTACAGAAGGGAGTCTGATCTGGGGATGATCATCTTCCACCTTGCTTTGCCCTAAGTTGCCTCTTTCACCCACGATCCTTCTTCTCTGTTATTCACCCTTCCTGTCTGTTACTTGAATTCTGGTCCACGATACACAAGAGAACTGTTTATTTCTCAGTTTGTCTTTTAATGACATACTTATTTAATCCAGCAAGGTCTGGTATGTGATCTCACACCCAGCCCAAGAATGAAACCAGAAAGAAAGGAAGGAGCACTAAGAACAAAAAATGAGCTTGACACAGCAGGTGCTTTCACAGTTCAAAAAGCTGCCAAGCACCCTGCTGCCAGAAAAGCCTCAAGCGTGAGATTAGGAAATTTCACATAGATGGGAACTTGGCAGAGCTTGGGACTTTGCAGAGTTGTGAGGAAAGTTAGAGGGCTCTCTAAACCGCCAGAGAAATCTGCAAGTATCTCCTAGGATTTCCCTAACTGGAAGCAGAGCTGGTAAACAGCAATCAGGTACTCTGGCAGGAAGCTCCTTCCATTCAGAGGCCTGGAGCAGCTCCTATGAGGAAAGGTTGAAGGAACTGGGCTTGTTTAGCTTGGAGTAGAGAAGGCTCCAGGGAGACCTCATGGTGGCCTTCCAGTGCTTGAAGGGAGAGTATAAACAGGAGGGGGAACGGCTGTGTGTGAGGGTGGATGGTGATGGGACAAGGGGGAATGGTTTGAAACTGAGACAGGGGAGGTTTAGGTTGGATACGAGGAGGAAGTTTTTCCCCCAGAGGGTGGTGAGGCACTGGAACAGGTTGCCCAAGGAGGTCACCACTGGGACCAATGATATTTTGACAAGCTCGATCTGATGCATCAAAATACAAGATGTTCCCAGCCTCATAGAATTGTATGAATTTGAAGGGACCTTGAAAGGTCACCTAGCACAACTCTAGTCCAAGTCATCCCCAGCAACACTAAGTCAGAAATAGGAGTATCTCAAAACTGAAGCCACTTGGCTCCCATGATTGTTGCCAGATAAGGAGACTCAGATTTAGAGTACGGATTCCATGCGTGTTGTTTCAAGACTAATGCTCTTAAGTTTTGATGTCTACACTTATATCCATATGCAATGAAATACTGCATATGTGCACTTTACGATAAGATTGAAGAGAGGTATTTTAAATGGAAGAAATTAAAAACACAGATGGAAGCTGTAATTCTTTCCAATTATAAACGTTCAAGGCATATGTAATGTAAGATAGCATTATACTTGCTTTCTTTTTAATGAGTGACAGATCACTGTAATTTGGAGAGGAGTCATATTGTCATGGAAGAAAATGAGAAAGAAAGAACTAAGCACTAAAACTTGTCCTTGTTTTTTTCCTTTGTTCTTCATATGAATTAGAGTGAGTCTCAACCTGATATGATGTTCATTAGGGAAAACAAATAGGAAAGAAAAGGACAAGGATGCACCCCAACAAGAAGAGAGGTGACTGGTGTCTTAATTGTCACCTTAAGAACTCACACATTCGTTCAAGTCCATCCCATGTGTCAGCCAATATGTTCACAGACAACAGTCCCACTCTGCCAGTTACTCCACAGTGACCAAACATGGCACAGTCCAGCTTTCTAAGCCACGTGGTACCAGCATGACCAATACTCCTGCTCTGTGATGTGCCTTAACACGAACTCAAAGTGGCTCACTAACAGAGCTAAGAGGTTTGCAAACAAAATCTGAGTAAACTTCTATTGACAGATGGATGACACATCATACCATTTCTAGGTATATTCCTAGCTGCTTGAAAATAAGTTCAGCCGTTTTACAGCTAGGCCAGATGAATTCTGACACTTGTAATACATCAAAAAGATATAGGAAGATGAGCCATGAAACTCTGGTACCCTTCTCAGTTGATGGAAGGAACATACTTGAACTTAAATTTACTACTCATGAGGAAAACTGCTAGGGGATGTGTTGGTTGACCTCACAGACAACCCAAGAAAGATGTCATTTTTGCAAGAAATTTGCCCCAGTACTTTGTGGTACACACTGTATCTCCAGCTGTATTATGTTTTCTTCTATTAGACAAAGACCTCAGTAGAGGAAATGTGATAGAAAAAAACAAGTTGTGAAAAGCAAGACACAGAAAGCAGACATCCCCTCAGAGCTCATCTGACATTCAGACCTACCAATTTCTGATGCTCTGGGAGGTTCAATGGCAACCAGCCTGGGCTCAACTCTTAGGAAGATGCCTTCTCCTGTGCTGGCATTGAGTGCAAAGCCATAAGGCCTCACTAGCAATGTCAGCTGGTGGACTCCAAGTGGCAGCCTCTCCATCACGCAGACCACTCTGGTTTGATCTGACATTACGATGTAGCAAGTTGTGTTCTTCACCTGTACCTGCAGGGTTGTCTTCTCCTCAGAGAAACCAACTCCCCTGATAACTACTGTGGCCTGGAATCCGTCATCTGAAGGAATATAATCAAATAAGCTCATTAATTTTGGAGCATCAATGCACAGGATTTATTTCCAAGCAACAGGTAAGAGCTTCGATCAACTTCATGAACATATATTGGAAACCACAGCACTGTTGATCTTCTCATTGCCATCCATCATGCCTATTCCTGCACGCCCTTGCCCAGCTACTCCTTTTTGTGCATTTTTATTAAAAATAAAGGTGCTAATAGACTTGGTGCTGCCTTTAGCACCAAGTTTATTGCTGTTCCTCTTCCCTTTGAGCCTCTAATATCTTGCCTCTGCAAAACTGTGTTAGTGCTACGTACTTCAAGACCTGAACTCATCAGAAGTGCTGAATTTGGAAATACAATTTCCCTAAAAACAGAAGTTTCCAAAAGAACACACACATCAGCATTTGGCAGACCTTTCCCATAGCCATCTCCCCCCCCACACACTTTGTGCTGATCCAAAGCCCCATTACCTGCTGAATACTCCACATCACTGACTAAGGGTGTCACTTCCTGGCTGAACTGGAAAGAACAGGAACCAGAACAGTTTGCTGGGACATCATTCACCACCACCACCACCTGGAGATGGAGAAGAAAGTTATTCTGAAGTGGTGTTTTCTAAACCCACAGCTGTTCAGCACTGGCACAAGTTTCATTGCATGGCTTGCTAGGGTTTATCTTAGATAAACAGCACATGGTTTTGGAAGCAGCCCATCTCACCTCTCTGAAACCCACAGCTCATCTTCTTCCAGTCACCCACTGAAGACCCCACTTGCTATACTCCAGTTCTATCCATCCCACTTTGGGAACAAGGCTTTTAACACCTTGTAACGCTAATTATAACTAATCTCAGATTGCTCAGCAAGAACCTCTCAATTTTTATTTCCTCACAGTGCGTGCTAAATCAAGACAGCTGGGCTGTAACTTTGAGAACTAACATCAGCTTCCCTCTCAGAAGACTCAAGTGGCAAAGCACAGAACATAGAAGAGCCCTCTTGTTTTCTCTCACAGGCATTAGGTGAGTGCCAGGAGGGTACACCACTACCTGCAAATAACAAAAAAAAAGTAGCTTCCAAGAAAAGAGAAAAAGAAATTAAAAAAGCAGGATGACCTAACCACAGGCACTGCTGAAGCCCAGCAGCAGGGCTTTGAGCACATCCAGCCTTGCACAGTTCTCACTGCAGCACCCTGCAGTCTTTGCTGGAGGTGAAGGCAGCCGTGTGAATCTACCTGCAGCACATCTGTCTGCTCAGCAGATCTGTTCAGCCAAGAAGCTTTACCTGCTCCCTTTTTCTTACAAATCAAGAATTGAGATCCAGAGGTTGAAGGACCTGCCCAATCCACACGCTAATACCAGGCATCCCATTTATTTTACCCAACAGCATAGAGGCTGGAATGCTGCAGAGAAATACAGCATCAGTCCCAATTATGATGGCAGCACTACAGGACCCAGCAGGGGTGGGATTCCAGGGGATGTCAGTCCCTGAGCACTGCCTCCAAAGAAATAAACTCTTCTCATTTGCAATAGCTCCTAAGGAAGGTATTGCTCCACAGAAGAGAGAGCATGATCCGACTGCTTTATGGGGAATCACAAAGCAGATCTCTGAAACGATTTAGCAGCAGTACTGAGTACCTGAAAACCAGCCAGACTCCTGACCTACAGGACCCAGGTGAACCAGTAGGAAATGTGGCACAGCGTTAACCCACCTGTGTTTTGTTATTGGAGGTAGCAAGCATGTCCCCAAATATTGGCCCAATAAAGACACCCCCATCATAAACCACACGACTGGAAATAGCTGGCTTCAGACCACTGAGGTTTTCAGCAGAGACCTGGTGAAGAACAAGGATGTCAGATTCTTGCTCTTTTCCAACCAGTGTGATGTATGATCATTCCCACAGCTCTTATACACAGCTGCTACAAGGTGGGAAATAGCTCTTGGAAATCTGTTCTTGAGCTGCTTCTATTGCTTCTGTCTTCTGATCTGAGTCTTCATTTCCCAAGTCTGCACAACATTTTCCCAACCCCACCCTGAGCACAGGACCCCATTGCTTCTTGGAAGCTAAATTCACATTTGTAGGATACGAATACACAACAGAATAAAATTTCTTCTCATGGGAGAAAGAATTTCAGTCTGTGCCTATATTCAAAGCAGACCGTTCTACCTGAAGCAAAACTTTAACTTCCATGGTTGGACTCAAAGATCTTTAAGGTCTTTTCCAACCTGAGTGATTCTATGAATTTAATGATCAACCTCAGGATGGGAGACAGTGAAACAGATCTCCCTCTGAGACCTTAGAGAATCAGACGTTAAGCCAGTGTGAATAAAAATTCCTGGAAAAGACAAATTTTTGGTACAGAAATTATACTACAGTCTAATCTGCAATTAAGCAACTGCTGTTGCTTAATCTCCCACAGGTGCTTGCATAAAAGGAAACTGAGAGAATGAATCGGCCACAACAAAAGACAACAAATGGGGTTCAAAGTGGACATTACCAAAAGAAATGACCGTACATTGATAACATTGGGCAAGTCCCCAGCTTTTGTTCTCCAGGTGAGAGTCCAGATGCTTTCATAGCAAGTCTCTGAGTCTTTGGTCACGATGAAGTCACTGGTGTTGAAGTATGGGGCTGTAGAACTGTCTGTGTTGGTTTGCAGAAGCCTGCAGAGCTGGTGGGAGGAGATGTGCACGGAAACATCTGCAAAACACAAAGCCGTGGATATCGTCATCCCTATGAGAGCACATCTGCCTGCTCACAGAAAATAAAGATGTTCTCATTTTTCATACAAGGTTATGATGGTTTAAACCTCTGTAACTGCAAGAAAAAGAAAAATCAGCAGGGAAAAGTCTAATGGATTCCAAGTGTCATTATTAAATAACTTAGAAAATCTAGCAAACATTCTCCAGTTGATCCTGTTTCACCAGAAAGCTAAGTCAGGGATATAGAAGTGATGAGGGGCCTGGAACATCTCCTGCATGAGGAAAGCTTGAGAGCCCTGAGGCTGTTCAGCCTGAAGAAAAGACTGAGGAGGGATCTTATCAATGCTTATCAATATCTCAAGTGTGGGAGTCAAGTGTGTGGGACCAGGCTCTTTTCAGTGGTGTCCAGTGACAGAACAAAGGGCAGTGGGCACAAACTGGGACATAGGAGTTCCACATGAACACAAGGACGTGATTCTGTAATACTTTTCGTACTTGGCAATCTAAATATTTGGAAGGCATGATATTTCACTGTGCATGTCATTTTCCTTCAAAAGAGACAGGTCAGAAACTTCCTAGATGAAACTAGATAGTTCAATCCCAAAAAACAGCAAATCATATCTTATTTCTTCTGACATAAGTACCCATGGGCATCCAATGCTACAGAAATAATAGATCTCAAATGATTCATTAAAAAAAAAAGGCACAGGCTACCCAGAGAGGCAGTGGTGCCCCATCCCTGCAGACAGCCAAGGTCAGGCTGGATGGGCTGTGAGCACTGATGGAGCTGTGGATGTTCCTGCTCAGTGCAGGGAGTGGGGCAGATGGCCTTGAAGGGGCCCTAACAACTCTAAGGATTCTCAGATAAACGGATTACAATTTTTTAAAAGGGAGATCTCCAAAGCAAGGCAGTAGGGAGATAGCCTGCTGCAGAAGTACCTCAAGGAACAACATGGAGAAAAGTAATTTCGTTATTAACAATCCCATAGCTCACATCCAGAAATACTGCCCTGCGTATAATCCTTAACTCCTGTCTGGAAGATGATCAGATGCAAAGGTGATCAGATGATCAGATGGAAGATGATCAGATGCAACTACCACAGTGTGTTTGACTTGTCAGCCTGTTCCCTGAGCATTTCCAGGGCTCAGTGTTCACAAATCATAGAATCAAAGAATCACCAACGTTGGAAAAGACCACCGAGACAATCCAGTCCAACCATCAACCCACCACCACGGTGCCACATCCTCAGAAGCATGAGGAAAATTTGGTGGCAGGACAGGGACCAGGTACTTGGTCACTCTTAACAATTTTCCATGACAAGTGCAGGAGAAATGAAACATACTGGCTGTAGATCCTTTGTACCTCAAGATCTGCCAGGTTGCCATGCTTTCCCTTTTGAATTTGCCTTAGAGCAAAGGCAAGTCCACGATCTGTGCTCACACCGTGCCTTACCTGATATCACTGTGCTTCCCAGGCGTATGCAGAAGGTCCCTCCAAGAGGTGGAGATGACACCTGCAGCCTCTGAATGGTGACGCTGACTCTCACATCCTCCGTGGAGACGTAGAGGTGGCCGTCCTCCTCAGAGCACTCGCAGAGCACTGCACCTCTGTGTGAGAGAGGGCAATGTCAAGGCACCAGTGGGCAGAGCCTCCACTCAAGAGAGCCTGGATGTAAGGACTCGTAAAAGACCCATGGAGAAGATGGTCACTCATCTAACAGACTCTGGTGCTTCAGTGATGTGGGTATTGCACACAACAGAAAGTGATGGAAACTTTTTTTTTTTTTTAAAAATAATTGTGATGGAACAAAGAGCTCAGGCAGCACCAAGCACATAGGATTCCTGCCCCAAAATGGGAGCATTTTAATGCAAGCTGGGCAGCTACAATGTAAAGCTTCCCTGCTTCAACCTTCCTGAAGATATAGAATCACAGAATGGTTTGGTTTGGAAGGGACCCCAAGGATCATGAAGCTCCAACCCCCCACCACATGCAGAGCCACCAACCTCCACATTTCATAGCAGCCCAGGCTGCCCAGGGCCCCATCCAACCTGGCCTTGAACACCTCCAGGGATGGATGGGGCATCACAGCCTCTCTGGGCAGCTGTTCCAGCACCTCACCACTCTCTCTGTAAAGAACTTCTCCCTGGCATCCAACCTAAACCTTCCCTCCCTCAACTTCAAACCATTTCCCCTTGTCCTGCAGTTATCTACCCTTGCAAAGAGTTGATTCCCCTCCTGTTTGTAGGCTCCCTTTAGGTACTGAAAGGCTGCCATGAGGTCACCCTGCAGCCTTCTTTCCTCCAGGCTGAACAAGCCCAGCTCCCTCAGCCTGTTTTCGAAGAGGAGATGCTCACTGCAAGCAGAGTTTGCTATTTCACATTAGAAATCATCCAAAGCCTAATTTTCCATAACTTAAAATATTTCCTACCACGCCAATAAAATTCTCTCGCTTTCTTTTTCCGCCAAGAAAAAAAGGACTTTCTGTGGTACAGCGATGCCACCGTGTGGTTAAGAGCACAGAGAACAACTCATGCCTCCCAGCTCAGCCGAAATCCTGCAGAGCCAATTTCAGGAATCTCTATCTCAAAGGAGCACTGGATCTTCTGTCTGACCTGCAGCAGCCAGTTTAGAGCACAGCACGTTTAGATCATACTCCTCCTGATCCCAGGAAGGTGCATTAAAGCACCGCACAGCATGTGCTCAGTTAAGGAAAAAACAGTTTGGTTTTGAAAATACCCAAAGAGCAGCGCACCCATTTTTAAAGCTTGTGATCATTTCCATCTTCTATCTACATGGAGTCAGCATCACACCTCAATTTCTCCTACACCTCCCTCTGAGATGCAGAACTAAGCCCTTCTTCCTGATGAGAGGGACTGTAATCAATTTATCTCTTAATCCTCTTTTCTGATAAGCTGAACACATCGCGCCTCCTACACCTTTCCCTCCAAGGCATATTCCTCAGTTCCATAATCATGCTTATGGCTTTCTTTCCCAGTTCTTCTAAAGCCCTTTGACAAATGCACTCAGTGCTGCACATAGCATTCCAATGCCAGCCTCATGAAGGCTGCACACAGAATTAAAAACATCCCTTCTCCCTCAATTGCGCCTCTACTTAAATGCAAACCTCAGACATCTCCCTTCATTCTCATCCTTTTCTTCACCGTTGGTGGTTTGTGCCAAAATACCACACCTGACATTGGTGATTACACTCTGCTTTTCAAGGTGAGACTTTTAGACAAACCTTTCTATGCTGTGCTAGTTCATAGAATCACAGAATCATCAAGGCTGGGAAAGACCTCCAAGATCATCCAGCCCAACCATTCACCTACCCCCGATATTTCCCCACTAAACCATGTCCCCTCAGGACAACATCTAAACATTGACTTTGGGGTGAATTAACCAAGCTGAACCAACTGCTCACAGTGGAAGGGTTAGAGGTTGCATCATTCCAGCCTCTATCTTGCATTGGCCCTGGTCCCATCAGGTCGTTCCCAACTCAGCAGAATACAAAAGCCCTGTAAAAGTTGCATTCTTTGCCAGTTTGGCCCTTGAAAGCTGTTCTCTGATCTGTTTAACCTGTGCTTCTGCCTCAAATGTATAGGGGATAAATGTATAAATGTACAGGGGACTCTGAGAACAGTAACCATCTCAGTAAACAAGCACAGAAGGTGGGCCTCCATTGCTCAACATGGCAACTGGTCAGAGTTACTGCGAGAGAAAGCCTGATCTCCATGAAGGGCTAAGGTTTCCCTATAGCCCAACATCCTTGGTAGGGACTACTGTGCATTTTACAGCTATAGAAATGGTGAAGAGCCTGGGGCATCTCCCTTTTGAGGAAAAGCTGAGAGTCCTGTGGCTGTTCAGCCTGGACAAGAGAAGGCTTGGAGGAATTTTATCAATGCTTATAAATAAAGGGTATTACGTGGATGAGGCCAGGTTCTTTTTGGTGGTGCCCAGTAGGGACAAGGCACAAACTGGAACATGGAAAGACTGGATCTTCTTTACTGTGTGAGTGACAGCAATGTCAGAGGCTGTCCAGAGAGGCTGTGCAGTCTCCTTCCCTGGAGATATTCAAAATCCACCTGGACACTTTGCTATGCAACCTAGGGAAACTGCTTTAGCAAGGGGTGGGCTAAATGATCTCCAGAGGTCTCTTCCAATCCCCACGATTCTGTGATATCTCAGGGCATGTGGAACACCTTTAGTTAGGCAACTGACAGCCAATCACACAATGGAACCTCAACACCAGAGGCAAATACCCTCATTAAGACACCTACAATGCATGTTCAAGTTACATCCACCATTTAGGAGCTTGAAAACATTGCAGACATCTTAGGGAAGAGGCATCTCACATGCATTGTGGACATCTTAGTGAAGCTATCTGAGCAGAGCCTGAACAAAGAGAGGAAAATGCCAAAGGGAGCACAAGGATTTCTACACTGGACCAGACTTACTCTGCACAGCCTCTGAGATGATAAAGGGCTCCATGGGAATTCATAATGATTATTACAGGATATGAAAGAATCACACTGTTCCTACCTTAGGGAGAGAAGAGGCAGACTTGCACCACAACCAGACACCAGCCAGGACACATTGTAAGTAGGAGAAGACCCCACCACAGTTACTGCCTCTATTATCCGCCCACCCAGCCGACGTGGGTTGGGATCCCTCTGAGAAACTGAAAGGAAAAAGAGCATCAGCACCCACCAGAGTCAGGAGAACTGATGTAATCACGCCTGGGTTATTTCCATTTTAGAGCTGGTATCTTGTTGGTTTGGGGAAGAAGTGCTTTTTGTTTGAGAAACAGCATTCAAGAGTTACATTTACAGAAATATTTCCAAATAAAACAAGAGTGTTGATGTTTGGCAATTAGTTCTTGATATCTTTTTCTGCAAAAATTAATTTAAAAAAAAAAAAAAAAAAAAAGGAAGAAGATCTGTGCCTGTTATGAAACAGCCTTCCCCTTCAAAATAGTTTTAACTAGCTCTGTCATTAAAGCTCTCTATGAAGGAACATGGAAACATCCAGGCTGTGGATGCCCCATCCCTGCAGGCATTCAAGGCCAGGCTGGATGTGGCTCTGGGCAGCCTGGGCTGCTGGTTGGAGACCCTGCACACAGCAGGGGGTTGGGACTGGATGAGCACTGTGGGCCTTTGCAACCCAGGCCATGCTGTGATACGACTCTGTGACAGCAACATTCACAGGAAAGAATAAATGGGTTCCTTTACCAGTCACAGCTCTGTCTGTGATGATGACTTCATCAAGGTAGAACAACCCAGTGGTTTCCTTCTGCTGGATGCTCAGCAAGTCAATCTGATGTACGAGCACCGGGGTGTTGATGAGAAGGTCCTGGAGAGGCACAGAGCGACTCACACACCCTGTCCAGAGGTCAGTGCAGGAGAACGTCCAGCTAGAAGACAAAGTGGTACAGCCTTTGTTTTATTTCTGGGTAGTTACAGTGAATGAATTTGGAGATGAACTCAGATGACGCTATTATTACCTGCACACAACATCTGATCACTCAACAAGTCTCTCTGGAAGATATAAAGCATTAGATCCCTGCTTCAGCATCCTCCTCTACAGAGATCAATACCAAGCTTAGGCCCCTTGAAAATTCCAGACAACTAATCAAGGTCCCTATTTCTTTCCATCACGTAGTAATGTCACATGAACCGCCCTCCTGCTTTCCAGAGGTACACACACAGCCCACACCCAGCCTTACAGAACACAGAAAGAAATGGAAGGACCCAATCGATAAGCATAGCATGGTGACCTGCAGGTAATCCAGGAGGCTCCTGGGATGCATCAGGGATAATTTCTTGAGCCAGACAATAGCCCCATCTAGGGGAATGCAGTACTGGACCTACTGCTCACCAGCAGCAGTGAACTGGCTGGTGACATCAGGATTGAAGTTTGCACTGGGACGTGCTGGTCAAACTGGAGAAGAACAAGCAAGAAGAACGTGCACAGGCAGTGGAAACATGATAAGTACCCTGGGAGTACAGGGATGCTGCTAGCCTGTGTGGGACAGGGTGAGGAAGACAAAGGCCCAATCCAGAAATGTGAGGGATGATTATCCCTGCAGACAGCCAAGGTCAGGTTGGATGGAGCTCTGAGCACTGATGGAGCTGTGGGTGTCCATGCTCAGTGCAGGGACTTGGACAGATGGCCCTTAAAGGTCTTTTCCAAGTCAAGCAATCCTGTGATTCTATGAAAGCTAAGATTCCAATTTCACTTTCTGAAGTTCTTCAGATTGCTGGTTTGGATTTTATTTTTTTTTATTATTATTTTTTGTTTGCTTAAGATGTTTTCTTAAGATGTGCCTGCCCCCAACTTCACACTGCCCATAGTGCTCCCCATCAGTGGCGCTTTGCACCCATATATTCTAGCTGAAAAACAGAAAGTCAAGAGCTACATCAACTTTCTAATGGTACCACAAGTCCCCTGGAGAAAAAAAAAAACAACAACAACAACAAAAAAATTCATTTTTATCTCACATCAGAAAATCCACTGAATAATGAAAAAAAAAAAAAAAAAAAAAAAAAATCACCACCCAAAACAAAACAGGAAGTTAATGTCTACAGAAAATTCCTGGTATTTTTTGCTAACAAGAGACTGATCAAACTCTCCAGGCCAGTGTACATTACTATGGTGAAATAGTAATGTGCCCATCTCTTCATATAGTCCTCAAAATCAACAGAAGCACATTCCAGGTACGTCAGCACAGGGACAGAGCATCCATCAGTTCGCCCCATCTGACAATTCATTTTGCACAGAATCACAGAAACACCAAGGTTGGAAAAGACCTATAAAACCATCCAGTCCAACCATCATTTTAGACAAACAAGAACTTGCTGCTCCCCATTCTCCCAGAACACCCTCTTTCTTTGGAAAATGTCATCTCTGTGCACTGTGTCTGGTTACCTTGTGGGGTCACTGCCATCGAAATCCCACTGGCAGGTGAGGTTTCTTTCCACTGAAGATAAGGAAAGGTTGGTGTAGGACACTGAGATATGAAGGACGTTGCTCATGTGGCCTTTATGTGCAAAACAAACCTGCAAAGAAAATGAAGAAAAATGTTTTCACGTAAACAGAGCAGTGTTTATAATTACAATTTACTCAGCAAGAGCAGGCACTTACATGTGTGTACTCAGTAAGGTCGTATCTTTGTAGAGATGATGGAGAAGCTTTCACCAGCTGGCTTGGGCTGCGAGCACTGAACCTCCCACAGAAGGGCTCTGTTCCATAGACAACACGTTCTGTGGTGACAGAGTTTTCTGTACCTGAAGGAAAAAACAACAGGATGGGAGGCTTAAAAAGGCTTCAGAGAACAGGTAGTCAAAGTTTTCATGGAAATGACAAAAACAGAGGTCCAAAACAATTGCATCTAATAGTTCTGCTCCTCAGTGTTCTGCCTAGGTAAGTTATGAACATTCACAGGGCATTGATCCTTAGTTTAAGGCAGGATAGATCACAGAATTGCTGCAAAAGACCTCAAAGATCATCAAGTCCAACCACAACCTGAGCATGCTACACTAATCATTACATCCCAATCCTGACCAGAAAAACCTTGTGGAAAATGCTACCATCTTAAGCCAGATAGAGTACGACTGATTGAAACCACTTTTCCTTCTCAAAAAACACTCAGGCAAAGTTAGAGATTGATACATTTAAGCAGCTGAGAACCTGCCCTCACTTTTTCAACTTCCGTTCCATTGAGTTATCAACCTTGTTACCAAAAACCTGCTAGGATTTCTCATTTCTAGTGTAGAAGAGGCTTTCTCCCTACAGCAGACACTGATAAATCATCTTTTCTGTCAAAATGAGAGAAAAAAAAACCCTGCCATTTGAGGTCAGTAGTCTTAAATATATAAATAAAGAGAAAATACGTAAAGGAGGCAACCGTGATTCTTGACACAAAGGGTGCTGGAGCTGTTGACATCACATTGAATACAGTGACACCCCTGGGAAAAAAACATGCTCACGAAAGTCATAGAGCTGAAAATACTTCATAGAATTGTAGACTCATCGAGGTTGGAAAAGATCTCATCCGGTTCAATCATCCACCTACCACCAATGTTGCCCACTCACCCACGTTCCACTGGACAACATTTCTTGAACACCTCCTGGGATGCTGACCCTACCACCTCTCCTGGCAGCCTATTCCAGGGTTCAACCACTATTCCAAAGAAGAATTCTATCCTAATATCCAGTCTGATCCTCCCCTGGCACAACTCTTTTGTTGGCAAGATTGGAGCACTGAGATCACGTAATTAGACAAAAAACATCCAAATGATGTTTCCATTTTTTTGCCTAAAGCTTCCCTCTCTCTCTCCAGTTTAATTAATTCCTTTCCTCTGCTGAGATGAGTCAGTCACCAAACACACATATTCCTGGCTAGGTCCTATTCTCTCTGTCTACACTGAATACAAGGATGTACTGTGAGGTCCTGGCATATTTTACTGTATTTTACTGCTATCAGAGATATAAATTGGAATGAGTTTGACGTAATACTTTAGTATCAGGAAAAAAAAAAGTATTTTTATTATTATTATTTATATAACACTTGCCTGAATGTGAAGAGTAGCACAGATTTTCACTTTTTCAGTCACTGGGAAGCACCAAAAGCAAAAGACTCATCATCAGGCTATAGTCTGAGCTGTCGCTTTGGGCTGCTCCAGATCTGCTTCCCCAGCACACATTATGAGACATGAATAATTTCACATGCCCAAAGATTTGCCTTTTCTGCCTGTACTCCTAACGCTTCCAACACTGAAACATAACCTGCTCTGATCAGCTTCTTGCTGTATGATTTTGTCACGGAAATTATTGCAGAAAGACTCTCATTAATACATTTATCACGTTTGCAATATTAGTTCTATGTAATATGTCTCATTAGAATAAACACAAATAAATCCAGTAAAAGCACAAAATTACTTCTGTTGAAGGTTTTGAGTACATTTACATCAGAAAATGACTCCCACATTAAATACTTATTTGTTACATTACTACCTTGTTTCTCAAAGCCATCACGGAAGAGTATTTTAGCAGAGGTTGGCTCAATGTCACACCCAACTGAAAGGAGTTCCTCTATTGCTGCTTGGACCTTTAAAAACAAAAAGTGAGAAGTGGTCACAGTACAGCGATGCCTGGCTCATTCCAGTAGAGCTTTCACACTGTCACAGCTGCATGGATTCTATTCAGCTCAGTACAGACAGAGCCTGAACTTCCAGGTCTAAAATCCTTTAGGGTGAGACACTTACCTGATGAGCAGTGGAATTTGTGTGGATCATTCTGCGGGGTGCATTGCTCCAGGAGATACTGAACCATCCCGTGCCAGACACAGTCAGCATCTGCCAAGTGAAGAAACAAACAGATGAGAACAGGTACAACTCTCAAAAAGAGGTCAAGTCTGCTATGTGGATTTTCTACCAAGGAGGAACTAATAGCAAACATATTGCCCTTTCAAAGCTTCTGTAATAAATTTAATAATAAAGAATCCCTTCTTAAACTGTGCTTGCTCTCCATGGACTCTCCTGACACGTGCCTGGGGTTCCTGTTCCCAAATTAACAGGAGCACGAGGGATACGTGACCTGCATGGATGGACTGATAGCCACAGATGGTGCTGACCACAGCCCTGAGGTTGCCCAGAGCTGTGCTGCCCCAACCCTGGAGGTGCTCAAGGCCATGGATGGGTCCTGGGCAGCCTGGGCTGGCAGGGAGCACTCAGCCCATGGCAACGTGGTTGGAATTAGATGATCTTTCAGGTCCCTTCCAACCCAAGCTATTCTAGGATTCTATGACAACTTCCCACACTGCTGAGCACTGAAAGCTGAAAGTTTATATCACCCAATTGCAACACAGAGCTGATCTGATCGTAAACCCTTTGAGTGTGCTGTCAACTAGTGACAACTAGTGAAACTACCCCCAAACTGTCATGAATTAGCATCAAGAACAAAGTAACAAGCAAGGCAAAAGCAGACTGCACTTTACACATGGGCAAATTATAATGCACCATAAAAATACCCACCTGGCAGTGAGTGTGAAAGTCACAAACACCTTCAGCTACATGGCAGTATTTATCTATGAAATCAGCAGGCCAACAAAAAGTGGGAATGCACTGCTATGCGTAAGTGACAACATCTTTACCATTAGGACCTATCCGAGCTCATTGCATCAGGGTTAGTCTACATCCCATGAAATTCTTCAGGTTAAAAGGGACCTCTGGAGGCCATCTATGCCAAAGTCCCTGTCCTACAGGGGTCAAGTACCCAGCACTGACCTGTACATCTGGAAGATACAAGGCACGAGCCCGAATTTCATGTCTCTCAATGTAGTAGTTGTTCACCACCTGGGGATTCAGCCAGGTGTTGTGTATCTGGACTCCAACTCTCATCCCATTGCTGGGTGCCTTTCCATGATGCAGAGCTTCCAAGTAGTACCTCAGGCCAGCAGTTAGCTCAAATTTCTGGGATTTTGGCTGCCAACTCTCGCTCCAGTTCTTCACCCACTTTCCAGACCATTCCAAATTGCCAGCTGGGAGAGCAGCAATTCTCACCTGTGTCCAGATGAACCAAATCACTCATAATTTCACAATACCAAAACACTGTACGTTCAGCTCCAAAACCAGAGCTGACAGCAGTGGCTTGATGTTTCAATACATTCTTTCCTATTCCACAGCAAAAAGCCATCACCTCAAAGATCTTTGATTTAGGGCTCAATAACATAAACAAGACAATTCTTATGGTTGTCCATAAAAGCCCCACTAACAATTCTTCATGTAGATTTTCATAATGGCTTCAGTTCTCTACCTCACAAGCCTAGAACACAGATGAAAATGTCTGCAGGAAAAGACATCTGAAGACTCTAGAGACAATGGCATACGTTTCATGAGACAAATGGCCCATAGGGCCAGGTGTAAAACGTCAAATAACAGCACAGAAAGTGTCACTCTGCAACAGATGCATAATAGGGGCCAACGAGGCAATCCGTGCTGGGGTAATCCCCCACTTGAAATGTCCTTAATTAATGCCCTTCCCTGTCACGGCTGCTTTATTTTTCTCCCTGCTAAGAGTAATACCTTATGCTGTGGGTCTTGGGATGGACTCAAGTACAGAGATGCCGGACCATCTGCCTGGATCCAGAAGGTGTAATTGTTGGTCTGAGGAGCCACAAAAAATCCACGAAGCCTGGAGCTAAGCAAAAGCAGAACACCCATAACATACACAAGAGTTACTGTAAAATCCCCACCACCCAGCAACCAACCTCCACATGTATACTGAGAACATGAAGATAAGCATGGCTTTGTTGTAGGCAACATCTTTTCTATGTGTTTCTTCTCAAGCAAAGTCTTATTTCTCAACAGGCTGGAAAAGGCTCAAAATCCCTCAGGATCCAAGAGGAAAGTACAGAAGTGATAGAAGAATGGAAATGTCCAGCACATTGCAAAGCCATTCCTAGGCACATCCCAAGAGGCAGCAACATGGCTCAAACATCTTCACGGAACTGAGGACAATCTATGGCTGCAGTTGCCAACAAGGGCTATGGATGTGACCAAATCTCCAACCCAAGGCAGCCTCTAAGTAGAATCCCTTCTATCTTGACAGCAATTTCTTTCATGCTATTTCACAGCACATCGAGGCCAAGCGGAACACCAAGGGAAAGCAAAAAAGGGAGGAAATAAAGTACTTTGCTGAATATGTTGAGCTTCAAAAGGACCTCAGAGCAGAGGGTTTTCTTTGATTTGTGGGAGCTATGAAGTCAGGCTCTGCTGAAAAGAGCTGTCATGTGTTACTGCTACACCTTACACTATTAAAGGTGATTGCCACAGCTTCATACCCTTTTAAGATCACCGAGTACCTGAAGGACTGCTTTGCTGCAGACAGAAATCTTACTGGGGATTGGGCACTAGGTACAAACTGCCATCTATATCCAGGCCCTGCTTCTGTCAGATCAGAGGCATCATCCCAGACTTCAAAGAGAAGCCCCCGATTTCCTACAAAGTTAAAAGAGAAGCGTTCTCAGCAGCAGCCAACAACAATCCCAGAGCACATATGCTAGAATTGGTGGTGCAAGGAGGCTAATTAATAACCAATTAATAAATTGGCTCCATCTGTGGGGTACTTTTATTTTTTTCCTTCACTTTTTATTCTACGAGGTAGAATACTGTTCCCATTTTAGGAAATTCACTGTGCCTTGAAATCCTCCACCAGTAAGAACAAAAATTTGCCAAGACCAATCTACTTCCAAAAAAAACCTAAGATGACTGCTCTCAGAGGAAGAAATACCAAACTGATCCATAGCCAACAAAAGTCGAGCATCATTATGTGCACAGTAATTTCCTACTGCAACATTCTACCCAGGCAACATACCCAGAAGTCTCTACAGCAGCTCTAGTTCCCCATTCTGTCCTCTAAGCATTCATTCATACTTTTTCCCCCCTCATTTTTCCCAGCTCTATAGGGCTGGCCCATCTGCACCCAGAGGGCTGAGCTTTCAACTTTGGCTTTCCTTGCTATGAACCTAAGATAAACTAGCTTAGTGTTCTGGAAAAACAAGTGTCTTGATGATTTCTCTCTGTTTCTACGTGTGTTGGTCTGTTGGGACTTTCGGTTATTAGAACGCTGTACCTGGCTGGGGGGCACCAAGCATCCTGTTCCTGCCAACAGCCTCAGTGGTGCAGATGATTTGCCGTGGAGAGACACGCTTGACTTTACAGGGGACACCTGGGCAGCAAGAAAAGGAGACAAACGTGCCATAGAGAGTTGGAAATGCATGAGCTCCAGAATAATCAGAGGACCATTACAACTGGAAAAGACCTCCAAGGCCACCAAGTCCAACTCCAGCTCACCCCCACCCATGCCCAATGACCATGTCCCTCAGTGCCACAGCTCCTGAGCACCTCCAGGGATGGTGACACCACCTCTCCCTGGGGCAGCCTGTATCAATAAACCAACTTTCATTTCCAAAAGACAGCAGTGAGTTGCTAGAAGCCTCTATTTGTACTGTCAACCAAGAAAAATCATTCCTTCCCATAGCCCAAATAGACTTTCCTTGATGCTGAGTGCAACTCCCATGTTATCACTGCACATGAAGACCAGTTGGGTCGAATGGGCTTTGCATGTTTACAAAAACCCTCGGCTCATTTCTCCTGTTACCTGCAGCAGTGACCTGCACGGGCTGCTCAAAAAAATCCCCCGTAATGGTGAGGTCAGTTCCTCCTGCAAGACTTCCAGCCGCTGGGAACACAGAGGCTATTTCTGCAGAGGAAGGAAAAGGGGGATCTGAAAACAAGCACAAGAAAGATGAACCCCAGCCCTATTTCTGTCAAAGCCAGCAGTGCACTTGCACTCTTTCCAACTGGAACAAACTCCTGTGAATCAAACAGGCTTCACTGATCCTTCGCTGCGATTTCGGCAGCCGCTGAGATTACAGCAGGAATGAACCACTCGGTAACTTGGCCACACAACAGGGAAATACCAGAATGCCTGGGCTGTGACTTAGCAGTGACTGCATCTGTCATGCTCAGATTGTAAATACTATCTTCTGTGCTACTGAGGAGCTCTGGAAAGAAAAGTGACATTAAGTGCTTTAATCCTTTTGACCTTGCCCGACTCGTTTCCCAGTTTAGCCCATAGGTTTAGGTGTCACTGCACTTTCCAGTTGTCCCACAGGGATGAACGCAGGGAGGTGAACAGATGGTGGATATCTACACTGGGGCTATGAGAATCTTACAGGATCTCATCTTTATTACAGTCACCCCATTCCACACTGGAAACCTATTTTTCTCTTTGTTGAAGTTTACTCACTTTTCACTCACATGTCCTAATTTAAACAAACTTTTTTTTTTTTTTTTTTGCATCATCTGAAAAAAGGCTAAAAACATGAGAGAAGCTTGTCCAGATTTACATTTTCTTTTCTCAATTTTTTCACTTTCATTTAACTTCATTTCGGCAGCATTAACTATTGGCTACTGCAGTCCTGCCTATTGGAAAGCCCTGGCAGACCTCATTTCTCCAGGTACTCTGCTAACAATTAATTCCACACTGTTACTCCATTTGTAAGTAAGGATATAAAATTACCCTCTTTTACAAAGTGTTTTGAATATATAGGTGAAACAAGTTGTATGTTATAAACAATATACAAAATCCATTTATGTATTGGCTACACTCTTTAAAAAAAAAAAAGAATAAATTGTTATCTCCTGAGCCATGCTCCCAAGATACAGCCTATAAGGTAATTACTATTATTATATTAATTTCAGCCCCTTGACAGGTCAAAACAAAGGCAAACAATGACAAAAGCATGGTGGGACCTCTCCCCATAGCCAGAGATGTCATGTGGAAGTTATTAAGTGTCTTGGTCCACATCTTTTTAAAATAATAGTGCAGCAACCTGCTGTTCAGCAGCCTTTAACCCAGAGCCCAATTCTTGGAGTGACTGAACATCACCTCGCAGCTGGTGAAGTGAACTAGCCTATCCAAAGGCCTACATTACAGGTTTTATGGCCAGCACTGCATTCTTACCAAACAGTATGATATAAGGGGGAAGGTGATATAAAGTGCCTTTGGATCCAACACGCCAAATCTGCTGGTGCTCTGACAATACAAGGAATAACGACAGCAGCTCCATTCCAAACCCTGGCTGACTCTCAGATTATGCTGTCCAAAAGAGTGTTCAAAGACATCCTTAAGAGGACCACAAACTCACTGGAGATTAAGAACACAGCCCATGGCAGCACACCCAACCTCAGCATATAAAGCTGGGATAGCTGAAATTCTTGGCCTGCAGCTTTGTGTAGTCAGCCCACCACAAAACTTACCACACCAGTAGAACTACATGTTAAAATGAGGTCACATTGGTAGGAGCAACAACCAGGTGTCTTCCTTAGACAACAGTGGCACTGCCATGGCACAGTGCAAGCAGTGGGGTGGGTCAGTGCAATACCTGAATGTGTTTGGTACAAGAAAAGCTCCTGCTTGGCACTCATGAGCCAAGCATCTTTGTCTATCACTGACCTGCAAGAGAGAGAGCTGCGTTAGAGATCCCCGGCCCTTTCAGTTAGTGCAGACCTTCCTTTGGCAAGGGTGGACACTTTTATTTTCAGTTGGACTTGGATTACGTCTCTTTTGGTAACTGAAGCTGAAGTATTAGAATCACAGAGATGCCTTGGGGGAGGAACACACTCCCTTTTCATTCCTAATCTGATGGTCATCTTCTCAAACCAGCAAAACCTCATGTCTAAGTAATGAAACACAAGTTTTGATTAAATTTCACACACTCATCCTGGACTCAGAAATGTAGCTGTGCTCCCATATGAAACTATAGGGGGGAAAAAAAACCAAAAAAAACCAACAAAAAAAAGATCTTTTACTTACTTTCCTTTGTTAAACACTGAGAAGCTGACATTGTGGGACCCTAGGGGAGAGAAAAGAAACATGCTTTTATGACAAAAACATGGAGAGCTTTAGTAAGAGCACATCCTACCAAACCTTGTCCAGACATCCTGCCCCCTTTCTCTTCCATATGCTTTTCTTATAACAGTACAGCTGTGTTGATTTCAGCTGACCTTTCAGCTTTCAATTTAAGAAAGAAATTCCTCAATGTGCACCACAAGAGTCCAAAAAATCTTGGAAGTAAAAGCAAAAAAAATAAAAATAAACCCAATAATCCCTTGAAACAGTCTGCAAGCCTTTATGTGGTGCACATCCATTACTGCTGCATCACCTCAGGAAAGCTCCAGGAGTAGGATTCAACTCACAACTCAAGACATCTAAATTCCTATTCCTACACGTAACTGGGGCTGAATTCAGTGGCTTGTATACAGGTTTCAAGAACCACCCAAAATTCCCTGGGAGTTTTGGAGAAATTGCTCAGCATTGACAGATGTGGCACAGGACCTACAGGAGATCCTTCTCTTCCAGTGGAGTGTCTGGAGGCAATATTCAATCACATTTCAACTGAATTGAATACTAAAGTAGGAAGCTTCCAGACTTAGATTATACTACATTGCGTGGATCTGCTCTTACATACCTGCAAGCTGAACATCAGGGCAAAAATTCCTTTCAGATCCTGTGGATCCTACCTGACCTCACTTGCCATGCCAGGAAGGTGAGAATCTCCTTCAAGACCCCCATTATCTCTTAAGCCCATCATACAAGATGAAATAAATAACAAAGGAAAAAGTAATGGCTCCCCTAGAGCTGCAGGAGTAGCAGAATTATGATCTCTCCCACACACCCCAACACTCTCACCAACCTATGTGGTTCCCTTCCACCCGGCACTGCATGGTTCCTAGTCCTTCTTTTGTCTGAATGGAATAGCTGTGGAGAAACAAAGGGCTTTGATGAGCCTTGGGGACAAAACAAATCAAACCACAGTGAGAAGCATCTAATCAAAAAATGCAAGCTTTCACATCTGAGTTAGTTATGCTCACTTCCCTTTAGAAACAAGGGAGAAGAGACCATTGGCAGCTTAAGTCGATGCATCCCATCACTCCAATTTGCCCCCTTTATCCTTGTTTTGATAAGGTGATCCCACTGCTGACTTGCAGAAATCCCATTTTAAATATGAGCTAGAGCAGAAAGCCTTGGCTTCTTAAACTTGAGAAGGGCAATTTAAACCCATGCCTCCGGAAGGAGCGGACCTACATAGGACAGAGGGAGCTGATGTCTGAGCAGGAGATCAGAGATTTCCAGCAAGATGAGAAACAGCATCAAATAGGAAAACAGCTTGGGGAGATCAGGAGGACATAATGATGCAATGACTTGATCTGTACAAATTTAAACTATAATTCGTCCAACCACATACAGAACAAGTTGGCTACATCCGTGGTTTTCCCATTTTAAATCCACTCCTTATCAGCAACAGAAAGGATTTCCTGCTTGGGGAATGCAGGCAGCACAGTTGGCACTGAGCTGCAGAGAATGCATGCAGGCTGCTCACAGAAATACTATCCTATGGGCAGGGAAACTCTTCCTGATATCCAGGGTCCAACCAGCACCTCCCTTGCTGCACTAAGAGCTGGATCCTCAAAAGCATTTGAACGCCAAACTTCCAAGCAAACCAATGGGATTTTGGTAACCAAACCCCACTCCAAGCCTGGTTTGCAAGGATTTGTAAACTGACCACACTGCCCATTTCTAGACAGTGGAAGAGTCGGAGGACCAGACCTAGATCAACACCAAATCTCTGATTTGTACAACTGAGGACCTAACTTTAAAACATGGTCTGCACTGGGGATAGGCAATAAACAAGTATTTCCAGAGATACTGCACACCTCCTCCCACTCTTAAAACTCAATTGTACCAGTAGAATAGACTATGGGAATTTTTTTCCAGGCAAAAGCTCCCAGAAAAGACAGCACTTTCTGAAGTCTCTCTTAATTGCTCTGCATGCCCCTAGTCTGCAAGTAGGAATGAGTAGCAATTAAGCAAGCTATGCTGGTGCTATATCAAGCTCTGGGAGCCATGGAACAACAAGTTCCATCATCAACAGAACAATTTGCATTTAAGTTCCCCTCCTGGGAGGCAGGAGGAATTTTACAACCCAATAAGAGGGCTCACTGAGAAGCCCTGGCACTGATTTCACTGGCTTTTTCCTCATTTCCTCGTAGCAACAGCATTGCTTTTCCAAAGCTCACAGACACTAAGAGAAGCACACCAGAAAAATATGGGCTGAGCTGTGTTTGCTGTGTCACGTTCTCACCACAGCAGCATAGAAATACAGTCCTGTGACTGTGAGCTTTGCACTCAGTGTTGTCCTTCAGGAGTGCAGAGGGTAAGCAGAACAGCATCTGCCTTTTCCTCAGCCCTTTTCCTGGCAGATGTGGTTGCCAAGCCACTCTCCATCATATTTGAAAAGTCACAGCTGTCAGGCAAAGTCCCCACTGACTGGAAAAAGGGAAGCATCACTCCTATTTATAAGAAGGGGAGAAAGGAAGTCCTGAGGAGCTACAGGCCAGTGAGCCTCGTATCCGTGCCTGGGAAGATCATGGAGCAGATCCTCCTGGAACACATTATGGCTCATGAGGGATGAGCAGGTGATTTGAGACAGCCAGCACGGCTTCACCAAGGGAAGGTCGTGCCTGACCAGTCTGGGGGCCTTTTGTGATGGAATGGTGGCATTGATGGACAAAGGGGAGGCAAGTGTTGTTGTTTATCTGGACTTGCACAAGGCCTTTGACATGGTCCTGCACCACGTTCTTATCTCTAAATTGGAGAGATAAGAATTTGAAGTCTGGACTGCTTGAAGAATAAAGAATTGGTTGGATGGTCATAACCAGAGGGTTGGAACGACAGCGAGCCAGCAGCCCTCACCCACTCTATCTGACTGGTCAGCTACTCACAGTCCTTCACATTATGCCAAAACTGAGAAGTTCACTGAAAAGCCAAGAAAATCTTGATGCACAAGACGTGCTGAGGCCTTACACCAACACAAACCCAAAGTAGGTCAACAACTGACATGTTTCCTGCTTGCCCGTCAGCAAAAGAGCAGAGGCTGGTCCATCCATCTCCTTCTGCCACAAGGACAGCTGGTCTAGGGAAAAGAAGAAAGAAAGATGAGACATAAGACAGCTTCCCCAGGGAGGTGACTGAGTCACCATCCCTGGATGTGTCTAAAAACCACGTGGATACGGTGCTCAGGGACACAATTTAGCAGAGGGTTATTAGAGTTAGGGTAGTTAGGGTAGCATGGTTAGCTTGCAGTTGATCTTTAAGGTCTTTTCCAACCTGAGCAATTCTGTGATTCTATGAAACTGTGATTCTGTTAAAATCAGCAACCAGTATTTTCAAAACGGTCAGGAATTCTCCCTCACTTGTATCTAGCCTTTATTAACCTAGAAAAAGCAGGATGAGCCCAGACTGTTTGTTTGTGTGTATATATTATTTGCGCATATGTAGGTTGCTCCAAAAGCAATGCCTCCTATTTATTTCTGTGGAAACTACCACCGCTACAAAGAACGCAATAACACTTTGACAGAGACAATTCTCAGCTACAAAATGCTAATTTGAACACAACTGCTAGCATTAACCATGCATTTTCAGTAGAGATGAACAAGAGCCTGCATTCCACGCCCACAAGAATCAGCACCAGCAGAGGTGACCCGGTGTTGTTTCCACTGCTAAACCACACCACCCACCCCTCACTGTACTCACGCTCACTGGTCCATAAACATTTAGCAAGCATCAATGAGTCTCAGTGGGTGCAATTTTTTCCTGCATGGAGGAATTCAGTGAAACACCTTTACTTCATATGTACTTCCATGTCAGATGCTATTCTGTCAGATTGTCCCTCTGCTGCTGTCTGTCACACAGCAATAAAATGCAGTGAGATATTGGTAGGAAGGTTCAAACTCTACTGCCATACCAGCAACATCTGCCTCTGACGTCATAGACCAACATAATAAAATAGGAGGCATTACTTTCAGAGCTGCCTTCATATATATTCTGTATATATATATACACACACACACACACTTTGCCCTGTAAAGCACACTAAATACTGCATGCTCATAAGGATCATGATAAAACCCACCTTCAAGACACCAGTGCTAACCTTGGGCAACACGAAGCATCGACAGTTTGGGTCCCAGATAGACCTTTACCTTCCAGAAGCACCAGGCAGCACAATACAGCACTGGGCTGGTACAGCCACAGTGCTTCAAGATGGAGCCCAGTCATTTCTTTACTTCATCAACAGAAGATATTATAAAGACAGATGACTTGAAAACAGTCAAATTCCTAACATGAAATTCACGTATCCCCACCTAATAGCAGAAAAAACTTCTGCTAGAGAAGAGGAATAAATTCACAGTAATTAGTATAACAAGCAAAAGATGGTAATGTTTCTTGAAGAGTCAACAAGCAATTAAGGCAAATAAGTAATTGAAAACCTCTCGTGAGGTTTTCACTTTGCTAAGATCCACACTTGTGACAGCGTGCTCCCCTTCATTTTCCTCCCTCAGCCTGGCTGTTATGCCCCAGGCCTTGCTCAGGCAGAGAGTGAACACAGTACTGATAACACTGAAGGTCTTGCCAAGACCTGTAATGACCACAGACCTGCCTTAAACTACAGGCTGAAAGAACTGATGGCAGATATGTGGTAAGCATATATCAAACACTACGAGTCAACCATCTTACCCTATCAGTACTAAGCAGCCCAAGAGCCCCTTGAGCTCTCCTGTATGGCAGCCAACTGCATGAAAGGATCTCCCCTTGAGTAGGAACACTCTTGGGGTTACCCTTATGCAAAGATCCCTTGTACCTCACCATCAAGAGGCTCCCTACCAATGCAAATCCTCATCAAATGACTAGAAGTTTAAGATGTTAGCTCCACAAAGGTTACATGTCAGGTTGACTGTGCCCTCAAACAGCTGACCAAATCCATGACTAGGAGTGGTTCCAGCTGCATCTGGCTCCTTTTACCTCCATGTTTCAAGGAGTTCAGAAAGCAGAGGTTCACTCCTCACCATTCTAGTTACAAAAGTAAGCCTTGTTCAAGTGCTATATTGCACCACTAAACACATTCCTGCCTCTTTCTTATGAGCATATAGTTTCCATCTGCAATGCTACTAAGGATGAACAGAAAAATAATCACTGCTGCAAAAATGATTAATTCATCACTGATCCACTGTATGCTATATAAAGCCTGAAAAGACAAAAGCAATGCTTTTAGAACATCACAAAAAAAAAAAAAAAAAAGGTTTTTTTCCTCCATCTGAATATGTGTTACTGAGTGGCAGATGGCCCCGGTCAAGTGCAAGTCTCCACCTGGAACATACTTGGTAACACAAACCAAAAATGGGCAAAGTATTCATGTGAAACCGGGATGTAAACCTGCCTGGTGTGCCAAGACTCCAAGGCCATTTCCTTTTTAGCTATGGGGAGGTCGAGCTGTAAATGAGTAATCCAGCAGTGGAGCACGCAGGCACACCAGCCTTTCTTCCCACAGATAGAAGACTTCACAGGTCCACTGGAGGCAGGTAAAACAGTAATGAACATCAAACAAAAGGATGCTAATGTGTATCCAGTAAAGGCTGATAAATGGGTGCAACAGGTATGGCTGGAATCTGCTCTGGGCTTTCATTTGCAGTGGCAAAGAGCTGAGTTGCTCAGCAAGGAACTTTTCCATTCAACCTAATGGCTAGTTGCAAAAACACAGAATCACAGAATGGCCTGGGTTGCAAAGGCCCACAGTGCTCATCCATCCCAACCCCCTGCTGTGTGCAGGTCACCAACCAGCAGCCCAGGCTGCCCAGAGCCACATCCAGCCTGGCCTTGAATGCCTGCAGGGATGGGGCATCCACAGCCTCCTTGGGCAACCTGTTCCAGTGAACATTTATTTACTGGTCAAGTTTATGCTGCTTTCTCTCAAGAAAATTTTGAAAGTCTACCCGCTTTGCTCTGTTGAGTGCAACCCTTGAAGCAGCAGAGAACAAATTCAAACCTCCCTTGAAAACAGAGAAGTGACCAGAGAGGTTTTGAAGCAGTGGAAAAACAAAGCTTTCTGTCCCCAGACACTTCTGCTTTTGTCTTGTGACTCACTTGAGCTTCTCCTTCAAACTAACAATATTTCTAGAAATGCAAATGGAAGGGAAAATTTATTTAACTTGAAGATTCTGACATTATTTTAATTAGTTAAATTTTAATTTGCTAGCCAAAATAAAATCTACAGCAACCAGATGCAATTACAGTAAATTCACACTGAGCTGTGATTGACTGTGCTGCCAGTAAACAAACCAACTAGCTTAATGGACCAGTTGCAATTAGATTAACAAAGTTTGCTGGAGCCCAACTCATGAGCTGCAATAAAGCACAAAAGCAGTAAATGGCAATTCTGGGCCAACTGGTTGCAATTTATTGTTCTTGCAGAGTGCAGTAGAAGCAAACAATTTAGAGGGACTTTGTCAGGTAGCAGCTCATATATCATTACCCATCAATATAATCCACATTGAAGTCCAGGGTCTCATATCTCCCAGCAATTGTCTTCCCATAGATCTCTATTAAATTTCCTGTTGGAGAGGAAATGGAAACAGAAGGGTGTCTTTTAAAAGTGGGGTATTTACATTTGCAGATTTTGTGAGCTGAACAAAAGAAATTCCAGAAGAAATTCTTTGCAAAACAATGCAGAGAGGTGCCCATTTGGCTGCACCTATATCTACTCTCTATCCAAGTTCAAGGTGACTGTTAATTCCCCTTTGCCCAAAACACACCTTTCTCACTGAAAAAAAATTATTATTATTATTATTTTTTCCCCAGCAAAACTCTGGTATTTGACTTTGAAGGCATTTCCTCAACATTTATCAACCAAATGCTGCTACAGAACACCACAAAGCAGCCAAAGGGGCATTGTTAACATGCATGGGTGTTTGTGCACAAAGTCCATTCTCACTGTGCTGTGTACAGCAGCCACTTCACCTTTAGGACAAGCTATTCAACACACTAGAACACGTGCTTAAAATTAAGTCCTTAAAGCAGGGTCTAAAGTAAGAGCAACAATATCAAAGTTTAGCATACAGTACAACAAAGGAAAACTTAGAGCAAATAAGCAGTTTAAACCAAAATCAATTCAGAGAGCAAAATTTTAACCTGCATATCTACACTGTCGATAAATACGTAGATCCTGTGATGTCTGCTGTTTTCTGAGCCCACCATAGGCAGCAGAGACCTAATTTGTGTGGTCAGTGTGATCAGAAAGGACAATTCAGCTCGCCCCAACACCACCATTTGGCCAATTGGATCACTCCCAACACTCCACCTACTATGCTGGGTACCAGGTTAATTCAGCTGTCAGCACGGATAGCTTAAATCACCTGATACTCCCTATCCTCACTCTGAGGGTCCAAAAAGGAATGAGTCTTTCTGGTCCAGCAGCATATCTGCAAGCTTCACATAGCTTTGTTTTTCTCAGCTAGTGCTGAACACTTGGCATTACTCATGTTGGAAGCCTAGCATCCAGCTAAGAAACCTGCATACACACACTGTACTACAAGGCATGCGAATCTAGAGCTGAATTCCACCTGAAAACACTGAAAACCAAGGGTGGACTTCAACTGATGAGCAATTAAGTGCACTACCCATCTCTCTTGTATGCAGGGGAACAGACCCCTTCTGCAAACCCATTTTCCTGGCCAGCATGAGTTTGGGCATTACATTCTGAAGAAGCCTGTGTTAAATCCAGCAAGACAGAACTCTCATAATAATAATAAAGATGGGATGGAACATCACATAATAACTAAAGTGGTCCCCAGCCTGAAGAAAGGTCCCTTACCTGGGATGCCAGATGGTGGGCTAATTTGGTAAACCACAGGAGTCTGCAGAGCAGAAAACTGCAAGTAGAAAGTTGTAGTTAAACAGCAGTCATTCTCACAGCAGCCCAACGAGCTCTGATTACGCACTGTTCACAACACAGTTGGCAACCACACTGCAGAGACTCGTGCTTCAGGATTGGATCTTAAGAGCAGAGTCCTGCTCCGAGAATGGAACAACTTCTTCCCCTTTGTGCTTAGAGCCTGGCTTGCTGCTCTTTCTGCATCCTCCTTGTGCTCCAGTTGTCTGGTCTACTTCGAGTCAATCCCAGAAGATATGGTTTAACACTACCAAAATTTCTAAGCCATGTTCTTTCAGACCTCCATTTCACCTAGCAGTGTAGATATTGTGGCATAATTCTTCCCACCAGCAGCATACTCTTCAAAGCTGTTTCTGCTTCACAGTACTGGGGAGTTTCAGCTAGGCTTTAACGAGCCTATCAGTTGCTTAAACAGTGTAGCCAAGGAAATGCTTATACTGATCCTTATTAACACAGTACAACACACCACAGTGCCCACAGGACAGAATTCCTTGTCCTCTAAGGAAGAAAGGAAATACTAAGGAAGTAGATTATAGATTATTGTCCAAAACCAAAACCTAAGAGTAAGCAGTTTTCAAGCAATCTTCTTAGACACAGCAGGCCTTTGCAAGTGAAAGAAGGCTGTCTTTAGCATCCTGAAGTAGCTGAGACATAAACAACCAAACCCAGCACTAACTTAGGCTGCACCTTCAAGAAGCCCTGCTGACCTCTTCCTCCAGGTTACGCTAAAAATCTGCAAGCATTTTGCTTGTTTTTAAGAAACTGACTCTAGGAGCTTTTGCCTACACCAACACTAATCCTATTCAAACAGAGGTGTGCAAGAGCATTGTTCACCTGCCAAGGGGCCAGAAGTACTCATGGCCGTCCACATGCTGATAACTCACATGGAATCAGCTCACCATCAGCAGCAGCTGGACGTGGACTCCAGCACTGCCCACCTTGTTCACCATTACAGGCACAGCCTTGCTTTAAGCAACAAGACCTTGCAAATCCTTATTCCTCAGATAGCTGCCCTGACATATACAAGTAATGCTGTTTTTCCCCTGTGCAGCATTCTGCACTCTGGAAGTGAATAACACTAGGTCAGATACATCAAGGTATTTAGGTACCTTGGGCTTTATCTATACAGGCACCTGACTTGTTCAGATTATGCAAAAATCCATTTGCTTCTCTGCTGTAAATACCTCCATAAAACTGGCCAGTTACATTATTAGCTGGCTGAATCCTGACCTAAGTCATTAACTACTTGATTTCTTTGACCTTATAGGAAGGAAAAGGAAAAGGAAAAGGAAAAGGAAAAGGAAAAGGAAAAGGAAAAGGAAAAGGAAAAGGAAAAGGAAAAGGAAAAGGAAAAGGAAAAGGAAAAGGAAAAGGAAAAGGAAAAGGAAAAGGAAAAGGAAAAGGAAAAGGAAAAGGAAAAGGAAAAGGAAAAGGAAAAGGAAAAGGAAAAGGAAAAGGAAAAGGAAAAGGAAAAGGAAAAGGAAAAGGAAAAGGAAAAGGAAAAGGAAAAGGAAAAGTTCCCCTTGTGCACTTGGCCTGTCCTTATCCACCAAATCATTCATTTCTTAATAACTTCATCACATCTCTCTCCCCCATCTTCATCTTGAGTCCTCTCTAGTTGTACCTACAGATGCTGCTGTCAGCCCAATAGAATCAGAGAATCATTAAGGTCAGAAAAGACCACCGAAAGCCCCTAATCCAACCATCACCTCCATGCCCACTCACCATGTCACTAAACAAATAGCATAAACAACTGATTTCCAAACTCAAATCAAGAATGCCACCGCAAATATTTTTTCAGACCTTCCTCAAACCCCACCAGAGCCCAGTATATTTATTTCCTTATTATGGCCACAAGGAAAATTAATGAGTAGCCACAGACCTTCCAGTTATGGTCACCGCAGAGGAGCAAAGCCCATACCACAGGTTGGAGCCAGTGCAAAGAAATCAACCAAAACCAGCACAAAAGAAGGCCACAAGCTGACACAAGTCTTGTGAGCCATTCAGACTTGTTGCTGCCTGCAGCAGGCTTTTCCAATCCACTGCAGAGGCAAAATTAATTTTTAATACGCATAGCTCCCAGGTCCCAGTCTCAAAACAAAGAGACACATTGTGTTTTATTTAGCTTGCAATGTGTCTCATTAACAGCATCCCCTGGTGATTTTTCATCAGCTCTCTAAGCTAGCTGAACCCCCCAATGACTCTTTGGTTTTAATGTGCAATTTACTGAAATGCTGGGCTTTCTTGCTTGATACTCAAAGTTTGCAGAAGGGGGACATGACTTCTGAACAGACAAGGCCTCATCCTGAAGTGCACAGCTATGGCTAAGGGGTCTGCTCTGCAAGAAGCCCCAGCATCATGTCATAACTGCTCTTAATAAAGCCCCAAGAATCACAGAACCATAGGCATGGGACCTCTGGGGATCATTAAATCCAACCTCCTCAGTGCAGGTTCCTCACAGCAGGTTACACAGGAAAGCAGGCATCCAGTTGGGTCTTGGATATCTCCAAAGGAGGAGACTCTGCAACCAGCGGTGAACTCATGGCCAACCCCTTTGAGCAAGAAGTTGGACATCTGGAGGTCCACCCAACCCAAGCCTATGACTCTATGACTATACCGTGTTCAAGGAATGTTTATACATTGTGTTGAAAGACTTGTTGTAGTGAGAACTATTGGTGATAGGCAGGCCACTGGACTGGATGATCTTGTAGGTCTTTTCCAACCTTGGTGATTCTATGACATTAACCACTCTGCAGCAGTATGAGCAACTGCAACCAGCAAAAGGCCTCAGACAGGATTAGAGTACTTCCAGCCACAAGAGCTGAGCGCACCACCTCACTCCACACTCCTTGAGAAGCCATGGAAGCACAGTATCATTTCCTGTTTTTTATGTTTACGGTGCTAGCAACACCATGCACACCCTTACAAACTCGTTTAGTTGAAAATGGCAAATCCTGCCATAAGGCCATGAGAGTCACAGAAAGCATGACTAATTCTGGACAAAGGTAAAACAAACCCACAAGATGGTCTTCTGACTGTGTGGCTGAAGTGCACAGATAGGTTAACTCAGGTTTTTGCTTCTGAAAGACCTCAGGTCACATAGACCGTCCAATGCCAGACCACTGAATGTAGTATGCTCTAATTTTAAGGGACACAAGGAGCATCTTAGCTTCATGTCCTGACATGCAATCACTGTGAGAGATGCTACTTTAATACAAACCTTGTGAGACCAACCTTGACTCCTTTCAGTATCGGAAACTTTTATCATACTTCTATCTTTGTTTGGTGATTACCTTGAAAGCATAGTTTTCTTTCTCCACCCTAGTCAGGTTGTTAATCACACGTCCTTTAAAGCTCACCTCCACATAGTACAAACCCTCCTGGGGTGAAGACCTAGGAAGGAGAAAAAGAAAAATATTTATATTATTTTTATACAGATGGAGTTGTTGTTATTTTCAAGGTAAAAAGGTCCTTCATTGGGTCACCACTCTAAACAGCTTCACTGAAGCTTTGGTAGAGCAAACTACATTCATGTGATGAACGCAAACTCTGCATGCAAACCCAGACTCTGGAAATACAGTTTTAAAGTGAATATGAGGGCAGAGGGAAAAGTTGTATTTAAGTGCAGAAGGCAATAGGACTATAGCAGAACATACACTCGCATTGTATGTAAATGCAAAGCACATACACATGCTCATTAGCATTCATTAATACTAATGAACAATTTTAATTCATTAATATGAAAACAACCCAAGGCTGCCTAGATTTACAGAGAAGCCTGGTTTGTAAATTAGTACTACATCCTTAGCGAACATGGTTTCACAGCACAGCGTTCAGTAGAATTAACCCCCAAACAAATCACAGCAGTGAGAGATGGAAGAACTCCAACAGGTTTGCTCCTAACTGGCTCTCAAGGCACTATTAGTCTGCTAGTCAAACAACATCCAGCTGCTGCTTAGAGCCATATTTGTTTCTCTTCTTACCACAAGCTTCTCTTTGTGATTTTGGGCAAGCAAGGACATCAGATTTCCTTGGGTGCTGTGCTTCTGTCTACAGAGTTTTGAAGATCTGATCCTAGGCTGAGTTTCAGTTTGTTCTCCTCAGCATGGGGGTTGGAGCTTGATGATCTTTGAGGTCCCTTCCAACCTAGGCCATCCTGATTCATATACAACATGATTAATTAACCTAGTACTTCATTAAATTGCATGGATAAATGCAGCACAGCTTAGGAGGTGCTCAGGTGCAGAAACAGTGCCTGTGCAGACTCAACACAACAAGGATTCTACCAGACAGACGGCAAAGTTCTCACCAGGAGAGGTTTAGATTGTATACATGAGAAATAATTCATTCATGGAGAGGGTATCAAGCATTGGGCAGGGGAGGGGAGGATGTCCCCAACCCTCAGGTATTTAAGAGAGATGTGGACATGGCACTAGGGGGGCACGTGTGCTAAATGATGGGACTGAATAGGTCATATTGATAATTGAAGGTCTTCTTAAAGGTCTTCTCCAAACCAGAAGATTCAATATTATAGCCAGGGATCATACCTTGTTCTACATCTTACGATGGATAAGTCAAAATACACAGGAGAGACATCACACGGCAACGTGGGCAGGTCTGCATTCACCAGGGACACCTCCAGGTGGGGCCAGCTGGCTGGAGAGAGATGTTCTAGCTCATGGGATGCTGAGTCTGAGTCAAAATCAAAGGGGAGAGCTCTGAGGACAGGACCACTCACACCCAGTCACAAGGTGCAGGCGCTTTTGAATATATTCTATTGCAAAGATTAACAGCTGCCAGCAGTTTCAATCTCCTTAACCACCTACACCAAACAAACCATCATGCTCATAGATACTTAAAGCACCTGTAAAATTAATAGTTTCACATGGTACTTGCAGCTGCTGATGTCTCGCATGGTTTTGCTAGCAAGCATCTCAAGTACTCTTGTGCTGTAAGGTGGATCTGCTCTGCTCAAGACTTGCCTGGATGTATTCCTGTGCAATTAGCTCTAGGGAGCTGCTTTAGCAGAGGGTTGGATGCGATGATCTGTTGAGGTCCCTTCGAACCCTTGCAACTGTCTATGATCTCTACAGGAATCCAAAAATAAGGTAGAAATCTGATTTCTCTTACAATTTGAAAACAAGCAAACGTCAGAAATAGTTTAAGAAGTAATAACTGCAGGCTGATTTCATGCTCTGGATGCCACAGCTATGTGACTGGTACTGAAGGTTTGTCATTCCGACCACAAGTCTCAGAACAGACCTGCTTCTCCATCACTTCAATATATACTTGGCAAGAGTTTAAAAGAGCTGAACACTCACCATCCAGAGTGACAGTAATCCACGTTCCTCCAGCAACACTGCCCTCCTGGGGCTCTGTGAGCAGTCCCTCAGAGGTCACTGCAATAACAACCCAGCTGTGTCAGGCTGAAGTTTAATGCAAAGACTGGAAATATCCAACTCAAGACAGGGCGCAGTGACCTGGCAGCTGCCCTTCTGTGAGTACAGCCTCCACAATCCTTCCTTCCTGGACATCCAAATTAGGATTGCTCATCCCCTTCCCTTGTTTAGAATGGCTTAGGTTGGAATAGACCTTAAAGACCATTTTATTTCAACACTGCCATGGGCTGGTTGCCCCCCACCAGATAGGGCTGCCCAGGGCCCCATGCAGCCTGGCCTTGGGCACCTCCAGGGAACTGCCTCTCCCTATGTAAAACTCCTCCTTCCCTTCATTGAGGTTTTGATGCCTTCAGAACTCTGTTAACTAAGCCAGCCTGAACCTCCTGACCTCCTCAAGAATTGAAACAAGCACGATCAGCCTTATGCTCATTCCTCCAGCTCTTAGAAAAATGTCTGCTCAGTTCTGAAGACTGTCCTCAAATAATATACCATACATCCTCCTCCATCTCAGTTTGCCCACCTCTCTCTTGGAAAAGCCCTCAAGCACAGGATGAAGAACGAAGCATAGGATGAAGCTCCTACTTCATGCAATTAAGTTACAAATAACTTATTGCATACATTTTCCAGAAAGGCATCAAATTCTTAAGGCTTTTTTTGTTTGTTTGTTTGTTTTTGAGGGCCTTCATTTGCTGACGCTAATGGAAGCAAACCAATAGCTGACCATGTCACCATCCCTGGAGGTGTTCAAGAACCATGGATACATGGCACTGAGGGCCATGGTTGGTGAGCTGGGGTGATCTCAGAGAGGTCTTTTCCAACCATAGCGATTCTATAAACAGTTCCATCTCATCAGGTCAATGTAAATTCGCCTAACACCTGTATTCACCTGTCTAAAGAGCTTTGTCCAATCACAAACTCAACATTTAAACAATCGTATGATTATCATCAAGCAAAAGAAAACCAACATACATCAGAGGTAGCCAGGGACAATCTACAATTACCCAGACATGTAGAAAACTAGGAGATGAAATCTATGACTATGGAGGAATGCCATGAACGGCCACTGAAAAAGGTGGAAGTCACTGCCCCATAACATCCAACAGCATTTAGAATACTTCTGCACACCCCACTTGCAATCAGGCTGTGCCCAACCCAATGACACTGGTACTGCAGTGTTGTTAGAGAACACTTCTGTCCTCACCTGCAAAGAACACCAGAAAAGACGGTCTCCATAGGTTCATCTTGGAACCTGGATGGGGATTTCACAGGATCACGGCTCAGGACCTTAGCATCTCTTCTGTAACATTAAAATAAATTCATCTGTTAATCCTTCATCACGTTGCAGAGCTCTTGGAGCAATGGTTTGTTACAGCAGACAAGGCAGACTATGGGGAGTTACAGAGAAAGCACTACAAGAATCAACCAAGGTTGGTCTTCTCTATGCTGAGGCCATATTTCATGATGCTGGCTGATTAAGCAGTGCAAACAGGAATTAGTGAAAGCAATTACAGGATTTAGAGTCAGTGATACTGTAGAAGAGTACAACAGCTAGAAAACAGCCATGCCCACATTTATTGCACAACCAAGTCAAATCACATCCATAGAACAAAACTTGTGATGAAGACCCAATGTCCACCCTAAGTACCTGCTGCATCCAGCACTATCACAAGGATCAAACACCTATTAATGCCTGGAGAATTTGTTGGTGCATAATTTCATTTAATTTTCTCCAGAAGGATTTTCAGCCTTTTCCACTGAGACAGCATGAAACAAACCATGTTTGTTGGGCTTGCTTCAGAAGCTCTCTCCTGATCTAAACTGAGCACTGAAGGCAGACACTGCTCTGTCTCTAAAGCATCCTTCTCTCCCTTAGGAAGAAATAATATGTTCTGCAGAGATTTGAGATGGGTTTAACACAACCATAGTGCACATCCAGGAAGCCAAGTCTGCAGCTGAGTCCCCTACGATGGAGAAACCTGGCTATAAGCAAGACCAAATGTTTATTTCTTGATTCCACCACCACTTAAAACATTGCTATTGCCATCACCATAAAGATAGCAGCTAAGAGGTAAATGGTCCCATAACAGTCTGCAACTGTGGCAATTAAAAACATGCATTTCAGAGTCACACCTGGTACAAATGGCCAACCAACAGAAGCAATCTGTGCATTCAACATCAAATCCTCCTCTCAAATCCAAGCCTCTGAATCATTAGACTGGAGTAATGCAGAGATGTAAAACCATGGACTAGCAATGATGCTTCTATTGCTTTTACCACAATAAATGGTGCAATTACCCAACCTGATTTCTTGCACCTTGTAACAGAAATTCAGTTTCTAGGGGTCACGCGCAAAGCCTTGATGTGTGTGTGAACCTGGTATTTCAAAGTCGTCCTATAAAATATCATTTAGGCTTATTTTTATTGCCCTTATCAAGACTGTAAGTATGACCTACCTTATCCTCGTTGTTGTCCTTCCATTCCTCACATGAGTTAATCAAGAAGGCTCTGATAGTGTAACTGCCCATTTCCTTGGATACTGGCTCTCCCACAATGCTTGGTTGGAAGCTCTGTCAGTCCCTGCCTGGGTAACAAATTGGGGCTGTGCTGAAACCCACCCGACTCGTTTCTCAGCAGTACTCATTACAGACAGCTCAGAGCTGTCCATTGGGCACGCTTAATGATTAACCTAAGCTACTTGCTGCTGTTAACCATTTGCTTGCAAGTCTTTGACAGCCACAATGGGAACAACCTGGAGTATTCTTCCCTTGGGGTTGGAACTAGATGATCTGTAAGATCTCTCCCAAACTAAGCCATTTGATGAGTTTGAATGCCCGACTTCTCCAACAGGAGGATAATCAAGGCCTTTAATGCATTTTTCCCCCCACACATGACATAAATGGGTTGAATGGTTTCTTGATATGCTGATACCCAGCCTGGGAGTGCCTTTCCCAGCAAGCAGACTTGGAGCTTTCCATGTACACTCTTTAATTCAAATTTTCCACTGCATTCCCAGCAGTGTCAGTCTGGCTAGAATTCTACACAAGGGGGATCAGACCTCCTACCACATCTCAGGTACCTGTTCCTCTGTGGATCCTCACACTGCAGTAGAAAGAAGGATTATGGAACCACATGTCTCCACTGACTGAAGGGAAGATCCAGCTCAGCCTTCATCAGTACCTGAATAGCTGCAAGCATCACACCTACTCCCACATCTACACCCATCCATTTGAAGCCCAGACAGAAGAATGAGTTTTTGGTGAAGCCAACAGAAACAAAGCAGGCTGATATGGCCTTCCATTGGTACAGGTGCCTTCATGGAAGTTTCCACTGAAGCTAACACCAAGACTTTAGACAACAGCATAGCTACAGTTTAATGAGTTACCACACACCAGTCAAATAATAGCAGAATGTATGCATGCTCTTACCTCATCCCCAAAGGGAAATGAAAAAGATTCAGAGAGGCAGTAGCACGAAATCATGGGCAGTCAACCTTCATGGAAATTTTGGAGTTCTGCCCAGCCATGGAACCAGTGGTGCTGGGTTTGTTTTTGATCAAGACCTGATGTTTCATGTGCATACAGCCAAAGATTACAGGAGCCCAATGAAAGATAACCCTGAGCTGCTCAATAGTCTACACTCAGTTTACTTATTAGCTAAAATTCCACTACAAAATACAGCTAGAAAAAAGCATAGATTTCAGGGAATTATCAGAAAAGAAAATGCTATCAAAGAACAAGCACTGAAGAAGAGGATCAGTTGAATGCAACAGGCAGAGCCAGATGCTCTTAATGGGGTCCACTGACAGCCCCAAACAAAAGGGCAGATCAGATCCAGGATGCCCCCAGAAAGCCCAGATAGAAGCAACAGGAGAAACGGCTGGAAACTGAGCCAATACGTGAGTCCTCGTTCCAGCCAGAAGATAGCACTGCAGATGGGACAGTAAAGCTGTACACCTATAGCATCAGTCCAACAAACGAGTGCAAGTGGGGTTAAATAGAGCTCCCGACTCTAAGGGCAGAGGTGGGTAGGACTCCAGGTAATTAGGGCTAATTGCTGCCCTAAGGGCCTGGATAGTTCTCCTAGCTCTGCCCCAAGACAAGCAGTCACTCAAATTCAGCAGGCAGCCATTAAAAAAAAAAAAAAAGTCCTATCACTTCTGCTCAAAAAGCAACACCTCATGTGTTTACTTTCTGGTTTTGCTTGTTTGTAGTTATTCCCCTGGTGAGCGGCACCCAGCCCACGGCGGGGCTTGGAAGTGGGAGAGCTTCGAATTGCCTTCCAACCCAACCATTCTATGACTCTTCGACGTGGGGAAGGCTCTCGGTCGCTAGGTGGAAGTATGGAGCCGCTGAGGAACCCGAAACACAGCTGAAGGCTGCTCTCCGTGAGACGATCCTGATCAAGCCTTCTGTTAGCTGGAGGGACATCCACGGCCAAGCAGAGCCCAGGAGAACGGGATATGGGACCTGTTCCCAGCTCCTTCACTCACTCCAGCATGATTTGGGCTAGTGTTCATCTTCAAGTCACCATTCATTTGGATTAGGCTTCATCTCCATCACCTGTGTGTAAAAAGGAGATGGTGGCATGCTGTCCAAGGGACCTTTGCAGTGCAGGTGCTCTGTAAGAGTCTCCTCAGGATTGGCGGCACTCCTGGGATGTAAAACCTTGGCGGGGCTCCTCCTGCACTCCCTCAGCCTTTGCATGATGGCAGTTGTTGAGCAGCACATGGCATCCCCAGCAGAACAGCTGAGGGGGGATAATGTGGGATAAGGGGAGGTTCAGTGGTTTTGTCTGCAGCCGTTCAGGAGCTCCTTGTTCCTACCCAGCCATACTGGTACATGCAACACCCCACAGTGAGGGCACAAGTGTGTCTTGCCTGCTCCTCACCTGTGCTTACCATCCTCATAAAGAGAGGAAAGCAAGCCAAGTTGGGCTGGTGCTTAAACCAGCAGTGCCATGTTTCTCTTGGGCATGGCTGTTGATAGTCAGCCCTTCCTATGCAAGCTGTCCCAGTGGGGAAAAACACCATGAGACCACTGGAACTTAGGGCTTGAATCCAGAAGGTCTCAAAGAAGAGATTTCTTCTTTCCAGATTGGCTTTTTACTTGTGTCTTCTTCCTGCCCTTCCCCCCCTGCCTTTGCCATCTCCCAAGACAACCTGCAAAGTTTGTGGACCCAAGAGAAGATGCATACCCAGCCAACTGCTGCCAAAATCAGATTGGAACATCTACAAAGGCTGAGGATCTGATGCTTGCAAAGCCTCTGAAGATTTCAGAACCATCTGTTCCTCAGATCTGTGGCTACATCTAGAAGTTAAAGAAGAGCATAAGAGCTTAGGCACTGCACCTCTATGGATCATACATCTCATTCATCGTCCCTTCCTCGGTTTTGACCCAGAGCAGCTCTCTTTAGCCCAAACCATTTCCAGAATGCTCCCAGTGAGCACTACAGGTGCAGTCAAACAGATTTTGAAGCTGTTTTTCAATTTATTAACATGGATTCTAACGCCTCATTGGAATTTGAGAGTTTTCTTCCCAGATTTTCCAATGACAAAGACATGGCTGCATGAGCAGCAAATGGGGTCTGCAAGGCTGCAGGTGCAGACTGGAAGACTTTGCAAGCTGGCACGCCCCCAAGGGCAGCCCCTACACTATGCAGAGCTCCCATCAGCTGCTCTTTCTTTCTATTAATACTTCCCTTTTTGTGTATTGATGCAAACCTCCTAGCAACCAAGGTCACAAGAGAAGGTGCTAAGAAGCCAGGCTGATTATCATTAAAACCTGGTGGTTTGCTGTCTTTTTTCTTGAGAGGCTTGTTAGGCACCAGCAGGCAAGGTGCTGAGCTGGGATTTCCAAGGGAGCCTGGAGGATTAGATATCCTGATCAGATTGAATTTCCTTCTCTGAAGCCCAGCCTTCCTCCTCCTGGCCTGCAGTGTCCAACAGAGTGACACTGCCCATGGGAAAGAGCTGGACTCAGTGATCTTCATGGGTCCCTTCCAACTTGATATTCTACCATTATGTGGTAGAATGGATATTCTACCATTCTGTGATTCTGTGGTTGTGATTAAATCACTAATCATTCATATCTGGATGTTTCTTAGGGCAAGAAGAGAATCACAGAATCATAGAGTCACAGAATGGCCTAGGTTGAAAAGGAGCACAATGCTCATCCAGTCCCAACCCCCTGCTGTGTGCAGGTCACCAACCAGCAGCCCAGGCTGCCCAGAGCCACATCCAGCCTGGCCTTGAATGCCTGCAGGGATGGGGCATCCACAGCCTCCTTGGGCAACCTGTTCCACTGCTTCTGGGGAAAAAGTTCCTCCTAAATAGTCATAAAGGGCGAGCGGAGGGATTTCAGAAGAGTTTGAGCTCAGAGGATTTGTTGTGTTCAACCCCTCATTATGCACCCAAGCATGGAAACATGAGCATGAAAAAGCCAGTGCATATATTCTGTAAGCATTTCCCAAACCAGGAGAGGAAACAGATCCTGGTAGGCCAGGAGGCTTGGTCTCTTCTTACTTCCACTCCAATATCTGAGGCACAAGGCCGTCACAAAATTGTAGGATCATAGAATGGTTTGCATTGGAAGGGACCTGCAAGGTCATCTAGGTCCAACCCCTTGCTATAGCCAGGAACACAGAATGGCCTCGGTTGGAAGGGGCATCAGGGATCATGAAGCTCCAACCCGCCACCCCATGGTGGCCCATGCAGGTCCACCAAGCTCCACATTTCATAGCAGCCCAGGCTGCCCAGGGCCCCATCCAACCTGGCCTTGAACACCTCCAGGGATGGACGGGGCATCACAGCCTCTCTGGGCAGCTGTTCCAGCACCTCAACACTCTCTCTGTAAAGAACTTCCCCCTGACATCCAGCCTAAATATTCCCTCTTTGAGCTTAAAACCATTTCCTCTTGTCCTGCTATTATCTACCCTTGTAAAGAGTTGAATCTACCCTTGTGAAGTACATGATGTGAAGTGCTGAGCTTCTCTCTTGCCTGCCATGAAGATGAGGCAAGGAAAGCATAGAATCTTAACATGAACACTGCATAAACTGAAATGCCAAGGATAAAAAAAAAAAATAGGAAGTGGGGATTAAAACTCAGCTGAGTAGACAAAAAGCAAAAAGTAGCATTTTTATTTATTGGATGAATCCAGTGCCCTTGACTTTCCCTTTATTCCTGCTCCTTTTCACTCCGTTGATTCCCAAAAGTCTTACCTGGCACTTCTTTTAATTTTTTTCCATTTTTAAAATATTTACTTACCACTATTCCTACTGCTGTATGTTCAGATAACATCAATATATTTTCCAAATATTTCAAGAGAAAAACATTCTTTTTTTTTATCCTGGATCTAAAGTGTATCCATCTTTCCTTTCCTTCCTGCAGTTGGACAAAACCAACGCATTCACACTTACAGCCTGTAACTGAGCCTGGCCCATCATCTTAGCCAACTGGAAACAGACTTAACTCTTTCCTTTGAGAGGAGGTGCTTCCAAGAGCCTTTCTGCATGTCTTTACGGGGTCACTTTTCATCATGGTGAAATCCTGCTGGAGTTGTTCCCGTGGTTACTCTTGGTGCATTTTAAACAGTCGGCCAACGGCATTAAATACTGAATTTATTGCCGACGCAGCTGCCTGTATGACAGGTTGGAGGCTTCTTCAGTTTCAAGGTTCGGTCTGGTCCCAAGGGTCGTGGAGGGGATGCGCGTCTCCCAGCCGCCTCCAGCAGATCCTGGAGCTTGGGGATGTGGGAGGCAGCTGCTGGGAGCAACCAGCACCTTGGCAGGGATTTGGCTTTGGTTTTTCCAGCAAGCTGAAGGGGTTCCCCTGTTTGTGTGGCAGCATGTGGCGTGCCTGAGGGAATGGAAGGTCAAGGTTGGCTCATGAGGCTGAGAGGTCATCCTAAATGCAAAATCTTGGCAGCGAGGAAAAAATGCAGATTTATATGAAGATTGCTGTGCTGTAAGAAGTATCTTGGTAGTGAGGTCTTTCCAGAGATATTCCTCTTCTGGGCTGCTTACAGACACCGCCTCATTCACATTTCCCGTCAAACAGGGCTCTGTTTCACTGTGATGGACAATCTCTGTGTTACAGGGCTCTTTATCATGCTAATATTATCCAAGAAAGCCTGCAGCTCCATTGTGAGGACACAAGATAGCGTCTAACCTAGAAAGCTTTCACTTTAAATAGAGGCAAAGACACAAAATCTCACCTGACTGTGGGAAACATGCCCGCAAGGGAACTGCACGGGTAGAATGAAACCCTAGAGGTGGCATTCCTCATTGAAATCAAGAGATGTGGCTTCCACAGAAGCAATCTCCCAGGGAAACCTGGAGAGGCGACGCTGCAGACTGCAGCCACGGCATTTGCTGAGATAAACAGCTGGTACAGGATTGGGTTTCCGAATCAAGCTGCAATTCTGCACCTACTGAGCTTCATCCATCATTAGTCTTTCATTTGGAAGAGTGTTCTTGCCTTGGTCCCCAACTCCCAGAGGAGTGATTCAGGCAAATATCAGCTCCGCCGCTGCGTCCAGCAGTCTCTGTTCCTCTGCCCAGTCCTATCCTCATGGCAAATCAGATTCCTGTTTGCTTCTCATTTCCATATGAACCCCCCCTCTGTTCCATAAGTTTTCATTTTACGCGCTGCCACCACCCCATCCCATCCA